TGATTCAAAATATTTGTGAACTTACTTGTTTACTGTGTTTTCAGGCCATTCGTTTATTTTCGTTATCACCCTTGTAGTGGGTCAAATATAATAAAATAGAAAATAAATAAATAATTTGGATTCTTGCATTTCACTTGGTGGAATTAATATTAGAATATTAGGGTACAGAGGACTGCATTTTTCACAGTCGTTCCTGGTTAGGTCTTAAAATGTATATATACTCACTGGGATTACAAACCCTAACATTCTAAAATAAATAAATACCCACACAGAGACTGGGAGATTGTGGCAGCACAGGCAATGTAATGGTTTCCTACTCTTTGGTAATGGGCATCTTGAAATTTTTAAATGTCCGCATATATATATATTTGGTCATTCGATATGGTGATGTGTTGATACAAATAATAACAAGGCAATAGTAAAAATAAATACATTTCAAAGAATACAGTCTACCAAAAGAAATGGTGATCATGACCAGTGTCCCAGTATGTTGATTTGGACCTCCATAGTCATAGATTTTCACCCGGGGGTCCCAATCTAAATATCTAATAGGCGGACTCCCATTGGCGGATGTGGACATTCTTCAAAAGTTAAATATATGTAATGTCATATAAACCAAATTCACAATAGTGATCAATCTGAAGTATTATCACTTTATATTGTGATAAAGGCCATAAAACATTATCTATAAAGAGAATACAGTGTGACTAAAATCTACGTATAGTCTTTACCAATAACAAAGCTGCTAAGGGGCGGACCATTTGACTTTTGAGGAGAGGGGGGAGTTGGAAGATTCAGACAGTACAAGAATTTTTTCCGCCCAGGCGAACAACACATATTTTTTCCTGCAAAAGTGCAGTGCAAGATATTTTTTCCCAATATATTTTGCGGCATGATAATTTGCCTCTCATAATTATAACAGCTTGCAGTAACTTAAGACTTTCATACCGCTATCGTCAGAGACATAGCCGGGTTTTTCAGGATGAGAAAATCACAAGTTTTTCAGGATGAGAAAATCACAAGAGAGGCCAAGGAATATTCACTGTGATCTATTTTATATGGTATGTCTTCATGCTACCCTCACTAAAGTGTGCAGTTTACTTACGAAAAAATGTATAACTGCACCAAGACGTAAAACATGCATGGATAGAGTAGAGTACTGGAATGGTGAAGGTCAATATATGAATCATACGTAACTTCGGGGGGATGGGGGTTCATTGGCATGCTCCCCAAGAAAATTTAAACCTCTGAAATACTATTTCCTGCATTTTCAGCCATGGATTCGTTTATTTTACATTAATATAACCACACAAACAATCATTAATCAGTTGAAGAGTATTTTAATGTTTAACTGATTTTACCTTAATAGCTTTCACTACTCGTGAGTTACAATAACAAAACGTTGTCTCTTTTTAGTTCTTGGTTCGGTTTCAAATTAGCAGATACCAATTGTCTCTGTCTTTTCACAATATCTTCATTTTGGAAATAGTCCATGAGATAATTGTAGAAAAAGTGAGTTCCAAATTCCTGAATACATGAACTTCTGGGTCTACGGGTGTTTTTTCTGTTGTTTTCGCATTCCTGATAACGTGTCTTGATCATATTTGATTGACGGAGAAGATTGATGTCATGATAGTCACACAAAGGCGACTTCTGTGGATTTGCAGCATTGTGAAATCTATCGCCGAGTACATATCTTCTTGCATTTCCAGTAAGTGGGTGTTTGAATGTTCCATCATAACAAGTTGCATCTGTGTCTTCAGATCTATACTTATCCTACAATGATATTATCATATTTTCAATTAAAGCAGCTGCATGGTTAAAGTATTTTAAATTAGATAATATATTGATTATCTTTCTTTTTTATTAACCCACTAATTAATTTTAAAAATACAAAACAATGTCAACGGACTATTCCCTATTTTGGTAATTTTTAATTTCGTATTTGGTATTTTTTTTTGCTTTTTGGATAGAATAGACTAAGATAAGCTTAAGTATTTGGACAGAATTAATTAAATTTTTTTTCTTCTATTTTTTATGATTTTTTAAAGGGTTTTTTCCATATTTTTAATTTTTTTTTGTTTTTTGGATAGAGCAAGTCAAATAAAGCTTAAATATTTTACTTTGATTTTGACTTTTATTTTGACTTTTTTTTCGAAACTTTTCCAGCTTATCGATGTTTAAAACGTTGGCTAAAAACATTTTTAGTTCAGAGCTGAACAGAACCTTTGACGTCGACATGATGTTCACATGGAGTCTGGTGCGGGACTGCTCTTGCCATAGGTCATAGGTCACGTTACAAAGTCAAAAAAGTTTTTTCAAAAAAAGTACATGTGGGCTGGCCCGTAGCTCCACCGGGTTTTATCCGACTGAGACGAAACACAGCTCATTCGAAAGCAAGCTTATAACTCAAGGATTAATGTGAAAGTGGTTTGAAGAAAATCGGTTGAAAGGGGGCGGAGCTATGACCAAAAGGGCTAATTTTGTGACATTACCATGTCCTTCGCGATATAATGCTTCCTTCATGGTAGCACACAAACAATCATTAATCAGTTGAAGAGTATTTTAATGTTTAACTGATTTTACCTTAATAGCTTTCACTACTCGTGAGTTACAATAACAAAACGTTGTCTCTTTTTAGTTCTTGGTTCGGTTTCAAATTAGCAGATACCAATTGTCTCTGTCTTTTCACAATATCTTCATTTTGGAAATAGTCCATGAGATAATTGTAGAAAAAGTGAGTTCCAAATTCCTGAATACATGAACTTCTGGGTCTACGGGTGTTTTTTCTGTTGTTTTCGCATTCCTGATAACGTGTCTTGATCATATTTGATTGACGGAGAAGATTGATGTCATGATAGTCACACAAAGGCGACTTCTGTGGATTTGCAGCATTGTGAAATCTATCGCCGAGTACATATCTTCTTGCATTTCCAGTAAGTGGGTGTTTGAATGTTCCATCATAACAAGTTGCATCTGTGTCTTCAGATCTATACTTATCCTACAACGATATTATCATATTTTCAATTAAAGCAGCTGCATGGTTAAAGTATTTTAAATTAGATAATATATTGATTATCTTTCTTTTTTATTAACCCACTAATTAATTTTAAAAATACAAAACAATGTCAACGGACTTTTCCCTATTTTGGTAATTTTTAATTTCGTATTTGGTATTTTTTTTTGCTTTTTGGATAGAATAGACTAAGATAAGCTTAAGTATTTGGACAGAATTAATTAAATTTTTTTTCTTCTATTTTTTATGATTTTTTAAAGGGTTTTTTCCATATTTGTTTTTTGGATAGAGCAAGTCAAATAAAGCTTAAATATTTTACTTTGATTTTGACTTTTATTTTGACTTTTTTTTCGAAACTTTTCCAGCTTATCGATGTTTAAAACGTTGGCTAAAAACATTTTTAGTTCAGAGCTGAACAGAACCTTTGACGTCGACATGATGTTCACATGGAGTCTGGTGCGGGACTGCTCTTGCCATAGGTCATAGGTCACGTTACAAAGTCAAAAAAGTTTTTTCAAAAAAAGTACATGTGGGCTGGCCCGTAGCTCCACCGGGTTTTATCCGACTGAGACGAAACACAGCTCATTCGAAAGCAAGCGTATAACTCAAGGATTAATGTGAAAGTGGTTTGAAGAAAATCGGTTGAAAGGGGGCGGAGCTATGACCAAAAGGGCTAATTTTGTGACATTACCATGTCCTTTGCGATATAATGCTTCCTTCATGGTAGGCCTTTATAGATTGTGCTATTAATTTGAGCAAAAGTTGCTCACAAAAATGGGGAAAAGTTGCTCAAAAGTTGCCAAAATTGAAAAAAGTTGCTCCCAAAATTCAAAAAGTTGCTAGCTTTCTCGCAATGTTATTATTGATAAACAACACAAAACTTTAAAGTAAAGTTAATTTATTCTTGGATCTCATTGAAAAAAGCGTATCATGTCTCCTGGCAACAGCGCTGAGCAGTGGACAATGTAAGTAATAAAATTGAGTTGTGAATAACTCAATTTATGGAGCTTTCTTTTTCTTTGCTTTCAAAGAGTTTTTTTGCCTAGTTCCACACAGTGGGATTCTTTTGTGTCACCTTTGTCAATTTTAATTTTTTTAACTTTACACAATTTTTTTGTATGATGAGGTTTCAAGCTTGCAGCCTTTTCGTCATTGCATAGAGGGGTGTTACCAATAATGCAGAATCCTTAGAAATCTAAAAAAAGAAAACCACATGTGAATACCACATATACAATATCTACACTACATGCAAGCAAGTATCAGGTGCTGTGCTGGAGTTTGGCAAGCCGGAGATGGAGTGGCAGAACTTTCTCCCAGCTCCGACTGGATCAGAATGAAGAGAAATGTGATTGCAAAATTTTGAGTAATTAGCATTGGTTACAAATAATGGCAATATAGAATTTGTTGAAAGTACATACACAGTAATCGCAAGTCATATTTGTTGTGTCAAACCATCTTGCCATTTTCAGCTACTGCAAACAATGAAATTGCAATAAGTCATTATGTCTGTGATCTATCTTTCCACAGAAAAAGTTGTAAATCACAAGTGTCATAATTTGATACGCTGCATCCCATCATCTTACCTTGGTGACAAAATTGAGCCAAATAATATCAGTCATTATCCGGACTTTATCGCCTGTGATATCAACTGTGATATCAGCTATGGTAGATATCAGTTAATTGTTCAGTATAGTATTTGACTTACCAGCCCAGAATTTATCATATGTAATTGATTTCGTTTAATATTTTGGTTGTGATATTTCTCATACACTGACAGCTCTTCACCCTTTTAACAGAACAAGAGAATATAATTGGCAATTTGCAAAGCATTTTATTCATTTTAGAAATTGCAACATTCTCCATTCTTTGTAAGTGAGCAAGTGTAATGTACTGTAAGTGTGTTTTTTGAACTGAGTTATCTGATAATAAAAGCTAAATTTTCTAAAAAATACTTACATTAGGTTCACCTGACAAATCTTTGTTAGTCTAAGGGGGTAAAAGGAAATTACATTTAGAGCTCCCTTAAGAATGTTACACACTCAACATCAATCTGGGAAAAGGTAGTACAGAATAAGTGCATGAAGAGTTTAGTAATTTGATAAGGCTAATTTCCACTCCGGAAAATAAGCAGTGGATCGGAACAAAACAAAATTCGCGCATGTGCCATCAGTAGAAATTTTTGGTTCCGATTGATCCGGTCTGTGGATTAAACCTGGCGATAAAAATGCCGTATTATCTTGCATAAATTAAAATAATTAAATATCTGTATAAAATTTACAAAATGGAGGATAATTTAGGAGCTTTCTTGGAGAATTTGAGAGAGAATTTACAAGAATTAGAGAGTACACATACAACAGCTCTTTAAATGAATTTGCTTGGCAACATACGAAGTTGCTTAATAAAATATTCATGGTAGCTTTAACTCTTCTATCAATAAGTGGTATTTGGATGCTTGTGATGTTACTCTGAGTGTATATCCACACCGGGCAGGCTTGAGAAATATGCCTGGCCATGGTGGGAATCGAACCTACGACCTTTGGAATACTAGCCCAATGCTCTGCCAATTGAGCTACGAGGTCAGGTCAGTTCGAGTATGTAATATTTCGGAACTGAGTCTAGTTCCTTCGATATCAGTATAATCTAATAATCATGTAATCTAATAATCAAGATTACAAGATTACAAGATTTTTAATAAATAATGAAGAATATAACTGTTACATCATTACTGTCCATAAATAGCAAAAGCTAGTCGAGATGGACAGTAGTTTACATTAAGCATCTTAATAATTAAAACAAAACAAAGAATAATCAAAGAATACTATTAATATTTCATATAGAAAGGGCATTGAAGTCGAAATGTGCAAAACATTTATGCTTTACCTCATATAGCTTTCATAATAGCCGAGACCGAAATCCGTAATATAAGATTAAAATTAATCATCTTAAATTTTGATTTATATTTCTAAAATCAGTTTTTGGTTTAGTAGTAGTGGTAGCAACTTTATTTAAGGAGGGTAAAACACATTACAGCCGAAGGCTGAAAAACTTGTGGCCCTCACTATACTAATTACAGGAAAATGCAAATTATATTATACAATATACTTATACTATGTTACAAACTTGATGGCTATAAAAACTTGATAGCTATAAAAACCTCACTACACTAAGAGTATTACAGGATGATTTACTATATTATACACTTATGCATGAGTCAATTCCAACTGCGATCATCCCCCCCCTCCCGGGCGAACCCCCAGGAATTTGACTTTTCAAAAAAAATACGGTCAAATTTCCGACGGTGCGGGCGAAACCCATTGTCAAATTCCCAACGGTGCGGGCAAAAGCATACTAGTCAAATGCCCATATCTGCCTTGTACGTTTCCCATATAATTTTACGTGAAGAGAACCAGCTAGAGTTTTAATTAAATGTTCATTTCATTTTATTTTTACAGTCAAAATACTCAAAACGGAAATACCATCACACTTCCGTTCTTGAAATTGCTTGTGTATTCCAGTATTATCATTTGATTGGTTGGCTATTTCAGAAAAGGTTTCAAAATTTCTGTAGCAGATACAGAACTACAATAAAAATATCAAGCATAGCTCACGTAAAAACATAAATAACAAGACGCCTGCTCAGGCGTTCACACTGACCTGAAAATGACGACATACGAGCTACGGTGCAATAGACAAGATTAGAATACAAATTGTGAACCGCAGACGCAAAGCGTGAAAGGCTAAAAGCGTGCCGTGATCCTCAGGAGATGTTTTCGTAATGCCCAATAAACACACAAGTATTACTCACAAATACAAACGTTATCCACGAATGCACATGGTTTAGCTCTGAGCATGCGATGCGCTAACGCAGACAACATTGTTTACATTCTGTGAGTCCGTATATTAAACGTATAAAACTTGAAAAACTCAGCGATCCAGATATTGCATTTCCAGAGACGTTGCACGAAAAAACCCCAACCATGCAGTCAACTTCCAAGGAAGCGCAGTCTGAAGGTAAAACGTCTTAAGTTGAATTTTAGACCCCTACGATTTAAACAGCGCGTTGTTTTGACTTACGTTCTATGGGCCGCGCTAAAAATATAAATATTCTGTAAATACCGAAATGAAAGATGAAAATCTGAATTAAGACACAAGCTTGAAAATAACACTATAAATAGTGTTTTGGATTCTGATTCCATTAATACTATTACGAAAAAGGTATGTCCAAAGGGGCCGAAGTTATGTTCGGCGAAATGTAGGGCTAGTTTACATTTTTCACTATATTATGAAATATGATACCATACTTCACTTGTATTAAAATTCGCATCGAAGTTAAAAGTAATGTTATTGTTTGACGCAACAAATCTCCAGTAACACAATAAAATGTATGTTTCTTGTAGTTATCAGTAGCAAGTAAATGTTTCCGCGTTTTGTACAGATGTATCGTCTGAGGGTAAAACGTCTTAAGTCGATCAGTAGCAGGTTTATTAGCTTTGAATTAGCAGGTTTATTAGCTTTGTATGTCATTGCTCTGAAGATGTCTTAAGTTAAAGACGAAACGTAAGCTTTGAACCCATCACGGATGTCGCGCAATTGACTGTACATTACGGATGCGCGAATGACTATATGTGTATTGCATATGATACAAACACATTGAGTATACAATTCTACTCTGCGCATACAATATTTTGTAGTCAAACTTGTCCTTGTTTATATTCTATTCTATTGTATAAATTCGCTTGGTACAAATCCCATACAATATAGTACAGAGAAACGGTGAAATGCTAAAAGCGTGGCGTGATCCTCAGAAGATGTTTTCGTAATGCCCAATGAAACACAAGTATTACTCACAAATACAAATGTTATCCGTAAATACACATGGTCTCTGAGGCATATAGGGACTCAGGAGGTTTAGAACTGGTAATTGACTTGTGCGCGTGCGTACAAGTGTATGGGCTAATAAAGAAATTAAAGATGTACCACAAGCATAGCATGAGACTGCTACTACGTATATAAATACGGACCTTGTTACTATGAAAACTAAAGCAGTCGAGGAATCGAATGGCATTTGAATCGATGGCATTTTGGGTTAATCGTTGCACACTGAGCCTGCGATGGGCTAACGCAAACTCCATTTCTCGACGAAAACAGAAAACAGAAAACTAGGGATTTAAGACACTTGACCTTTCAGGTCAGTGTAATAATAAATTTGTATTAGTAAATATATTCGCAGGGTGTAAAATAATTACAGAAACGGAAGTGCGCAGATATCCCGTATTGACTGTAACACGCAACTAAAACATAAAGTGCCCCAACAAAAAACAAACATTTTCTATTTACATGCTTTTTGTTTAACTCAATTCGATCCGCCAATATTAATTTCCGACGTATATGACGGGAAGATTAAATATTAAATAACTTTGCGAGTATTTGCAGTAGACATACGAAAATACCACCAAAAAATTCCGCTTGATCGATACTATATATTCAGAAATATTCATATAATTTTATTGTTTCTCGCTCAATTTCAAGCGAATTTCTTACCTTGAAATGATCAATGCGGTGAAATTTATGCAAAATGACACATTATCAATTTTGCTGTTGCATTTTGAATGTTCCGCCTGATTCAAATGCTCGTCTTTTTGCTTCTTTTCGACGTATAATGATAACAAATATACCAAAAGAATCGCCATCTTCCATTCTATAGCTCGGAGCAGTCTCGGGAAATTGCGAAATAATCTAAGCCTATTATGGCAATTCTCGTGATCGGAAAGTGTTAGGCCAACTTCGGACGCCAAATTCTTGGTAAAGCATTACAGTTTCCTGGTAAAAGACTGCAGGAATCACTTCCGCAGTGTTTGTTTACCCTAGATACGGATTTTGATTGGCTTAGGCAGAAAAACAAATCTTTTAGAGCAATTTTCCTGATTATCGCGCACGGGAACGCACGAGCGTTGAAATGTATTGTGTTGTAGTTTTGTTTCAATCGCATTCTGAAGACGTTTTTGGCTTTATTTTGCAAACTGATAGTGCTAGTAATGATGGAATGTCTTTGTATGAAGACAAGTATCTCAACTTGGCATTGGGAGTCGTGTCTGGAGTTTCAAGGCAAGTATTTGTATCATTTCTAGACAATTTCTATTTCAATGTTTTGCCGTTGCCATGGCGTTGTAAATTTATTTGTATTTAGCATAGCTTCACTAGTACGACCAAGTATGTCCTCATATCGCTTTTTTTGTGTTCAAATAATCGTTTCATACTGAAATTGACAAATATAAATTGTATTTATTTATATTGTTGACCAAAATTTATGGTGTTTTAGGCATAAAAATCTCTGATTCCTAGGCGAAGTATTAAAAATGAGCCTTGAGCACATGTTTGGTTGTTTGTTACAAACATAATAGCCAAGTATTCATACTTATATCTTACTAGTTGGCTCTTATTATAATTTTAAGTGGCACCATGTCTATAAAAGTTTTTATTTGCACTGATGAATATATTGATCCTGTTCCTATCTGCTGTTCCTGTTTCATAACCTCAGGGAAGTAGAGTTGTGATGAGTCACGAGAACCCCACTCACCAACCCAGAAGGAAGGTAGGGGGATGAGTAGAGGTAGAGGGAAGCCCAGCCATTATGACCTAAGGTTTCGAAAGCTCCCTGTCTAGCATCCCCACTAGGCCCCATAGTACATGACGGATATGATGATCCTGACGCTAGGAATGTTCTCCCAGATTTTGCTCCTCACTGACATGTCCGGGATCCATTTCGATCAACTGTGAGCTTGAGTTCATTCGGCTCAATGAACTGTGAGCTTGAGTTCATTCGGCTCTTTTTTACTAAGGGAATGCTTCAGGAGGTAGTTTCCTGGCCATACTAATACATAATGCCCACATACAAATAACTCAAAAGTTATCCCCATATACTAATAAAGAAGGGTCTTGCAGTCCACCAACCTTGAGAGGTTGATTGCCTTTTGGTATAATATGCAGGTTTGCTAAAGGTCGACAGTGAGATTGAAAATTATTGGAGTGTAAAAACCTTATATCATGGTCTGTGGGCAATAGACATAGTTTCTCGGGTTAGGTACAAAGCGCTTATGGCGTTTGTGAATATGGTAGATCCTGTACTAAAGACTGTAGCAATAAACTGCATCAACAACTGTACCAGCCGTCACAGAATATTGTTGTTGCAGACAAACACACTGTCAAATCAAGAAATAGGTTGGGGGTTAGGCAGTTCATGAAAGCTAGATGACTTACTATGAGGGGAATAAATCTGTGGGTTGCTGCAGACAATCCTAATGGTTATATTGCGACTTTGAAATTTATACAGGAAGAAGTCCAGATATTCATCGCAACAGATTTGGGTATGACGTGGTGATCTGATATCAGTTTGGTTACAGCCTTAGGTCTTTTGTAGTACAATATAAAGGAAATATTTTCATCACATAATCAAATTATGTGCTTTGGCAAACATTGCTGCTTTAGCAAACATTACTGCCTTGGAAAACATTACTTTTTTATAACTACTAATTATGATGATGCCAGTCCAACAACACTTGCATGGTCATGCTATTTGCAAATATTTTTATGTTCTAGTTTGTGAAAACAATCAATTTCTAAACAAATGAGTAGTGATTATTTCAAATTTGAATAGCATGACCAAATTTTGAGGCTGGTTATGACACTAATAACTAAAGTCAATGGTGTAATGATTATCTAAGAATGTATGTAGTAATTGTAGAAATAAAGACATTTTGCTAATCATGATTTGAGTGTTCTTTTGTGGGTATCACAGACTTATTTTGGTGCCATACTATCTTTGGACAGTAAGAAATATTGGAAATGTGCATTGATAACATGTTGCAGCAATAAAAAAGGACCTTTGATAAAGGTATTTGTTTCATGTGAGCACAAAATGTAAATTTTACTCCACTACCTAGTTTATATAAAAATTCAATAAAAATATTTCTATTTATGCTACATGCATGAAACTTCGGGTACTTGTAGATCATAACCGTGTCTTTCAGTCATATTCATAAAATTTTTTGACATATTTGAAATTTGAACCGCTAAATACATTTATGCATAATTGCAACATTTTTTTATATCATTTATGCAAATTTATGCGAGTAAATCGTTAACCAAGCTCCGGATGAAATTGAAATTGGTATCGTTGGAAAGCAGAAGTCCTCCTCTTTCGAAAGATGCAATTTCTGTTTCCGTGCGATGTATAGGTTGAGAGATATAAGCGTTTGAAACAACAGCACTCGAAATTGCTACTTTTCCACCGGATGAGAATGAGTTAACTGCTGTTTCAAGCTGCAACAACTCAGGTTCTTGTTTCATACAGTAAATGTCAGTAAAGCAAGTGACGTTTTTTAAATCGCCAATGACCATCGGGGTATAAACTCGAGACGTCATAGATGGCAATAGCTGTCTTGTGATGGCCGAAATCACGAGAACCGAATATATTTATATTAAGTGCACTGACCTAACTTAAAGCATATAGGCGGGGAATTGACAGTAGTTGTTTTTGACATTTAGGCGTGGTGTACAATAATTCAATATTAGGAACGACCGCAACTGCACAAAGTCCGCTAAATGGGATATTTGATAATTATGCGCAATGTCAATGATTCATCATGTATAATTATAAATCGCGTTTTGCTCATAATTATAAATTGTGTTCGTGTGGCCAAAATACGTCGCTTGTTTAGTCTGATTAAAAATATTTAGCCAAGACACCTGTATGGAAAGCTTGTCACTGTTTTAGTTGCTTTTTTCGCTGCCTCGTAGCTTTCGCTTTTTCCACGCCTTTTGCCCGGTTCACGGCTTTCTGGTGTAGGTGGTCCCACCACATCTGGATCTGCTGTTCAGTTAAACAGCATTTTCTGGCAAGATACTGCAGGTTTGGTGGACTGCCATTCGCGTTGTTGTAAGCGGTTTCAATTATCACAGATGGCGGTAACGCTCTTATTGCAGTACCATTCTTGTGCAATTGTAACCACGCAGCAGTATCAGTGACATAGTGACCCAAACACTTTCCTCCACAATCCTTGCATCCGCTACCCCAGGGCCTTGTCTTGTCAATGACAGGAAATGGAAATCTCTTGAACGATGGACCATCAGGAAACCACCGGGGAATCAGAGACTCTTCGCTGTCATCTTAACAAAGTAGTAATTTAAATAGTTAACACAACAAAAGAAATGAAGAACAATTGTTTGTTGCATGTTATGTTTTGATCGTACCTATTTGGTTGCATTTCGTGCAGTGGTAAGGGGTATCATTCTTTTCCATCGTAGATACATCAGCTTCTGTTATTCCAATACAGTTTATGTGGAACCATTCTCCACATTGGTCGCAACAAATCATCATTCTGTTGTAAAATAAAATTCGTATTGTAATGGCACAAATGAGCTTTTTCATGTCGACCGGGTAAGGGTTGAAATTATAATAAGTTTCCTTTGCCTATAGTATAATGATAGACCTCGTAACAAATATATATGTGCCATAGTACTTACCGATTTCCTTCAGGTTGTCTACAGATGCAGTACAGCATTTTTGGTGGATTAGAGTAATCAGGGAAGTCTTTCTTTCCATTTCCTGGAAAAACAAAAGAATTTATTTCATGTAGACATGTATTGGGTTGCATATTAAAATAATACATTTTGCTAAAGTTTTTAAATTTATGTCAATCATACTGATATAATACGTTATTTACCAGAACAAAGAGGATGTGGGCAGTTAGATTTTCCACAACATCTAAGGAGGAACACATATTTTGCAGGTAAAGAATGATCCATATGATAGTGACGAATTCTCCACACAATGTCAAAGTGGTGATACATTTCTGGATCTTCTTTCTTTAACTCTTCCTTACTCTTGGCACTTCCTTTTAAAAACACAAGCAGTTTCTGTCTGCGTTTCAAGATATTGTGGTCTGTAGCACCTCTATACAGAGAAATAGTAGTCCGCATACACGGCGTTTGATCTACTCTTTGTATGTACTGTGATAAGGCTTCTTCCATGTTTTCGCAATGCTTTGATTCATCATAGTCTCCAGTTTCATTGTAAGGTGCACCATGAAGCGTTGATGGAATGAATAAATTACTATGTCCCCTTGCCAAACAGCCATTTTGCAGCTCTACCCTATTTAAAAAACTGTCACCGCTTGAACGTGTTGTTACGAGTGTGACTTTAGTAGGATGCCGGTAATGGCACTCAGTCCAGAGAAACTGTACTTCTACATGCGATGGACCCTCATCAGTTCCCCCATCTACGCGAATGCATTCTATTTCTTTGACTTCTCCGTCTGGTTTACGGAACACAGGCGAAAGATGAGGAATTTGTTCGAGCATCATTAAGTCGGCGGCGTGTTGAGATGGGCTCTTTTCATGCACCACAGATGCTTTGACTACGCCACAGCAAACTTCACTTGTATTTGACGTTGTGGAAAAATTGTAACTTGTGGTCTGAAGTTGCGCCTGGTGCTTGTTAAGAAAGTCTGTGTGGGTGGTTAATGTTGGAGAGCCAGCATTTAACGATGGGGTACTCTTGTGTGTGTACGTGGAATCCAAACGAAACCCTGCCTGGTCATCGCGGTTTAGCAGCAAAATGTGTTGCCCATCTTTTTGTAGTCTGTCCAAACATTTGTACAAAGAACGACTCCATTTCACGTCGGGATTATACTTCAGGTCGAATCCTTTCCTAGATCGTTGATACCGAACGTTTGCGACACCCCTGTATCGTTTTGCTGAAATTCTTCGTTTATTTCTTGGGACACACAACTGAACGACTGTTCCATAACTTATATTTTCTCCATAGTGTTCACTTAGTTTCGCTGCGAGACCTTTAAAGGTGATTCTTTTTTCCTTTTTGGTATCGCCAGAAAACGTATAAACACCCGTTCTCCTCCACTTGTCAGCGCCAACATCTGCTTCAGAGACAATTTTCTCAATTACCTTTCCAATATCCGGGTGACGTTTGTGAATGGCGTCCATTCGGTTCACACATTTCTTACGGAATAATCCAGTTGCTTCTACTTCAGCACATGCCCTTTTTCTTGCTCGATCCTTTATCTGTTTCAACTTTTGATGCACTGCCTCTTCATTGATATGGAAAGTACTTGTTTCATTCGCTGTAAGGTCATTTTCATCGTCGTCTTCATCGATTGTCACTGCTTGTGTTTCCTTTTCTAACATTTCTGTAAGGTAAACTGCTCTAGATTGTTCTGTTAGCCTAAACTCCTCGTCATTCAACCCGAGGTTGTGTAATTGGTTTGCGAAATTAACCAAAAATTGATCGAAATCTTCTGTGGTGTAACCCTGGTAACGAAGTATGAGGTCCAAGGAGGCGACCAAAGCAAACCAATTGTACCCTGTATCTTTCAGAATGTTGAGAGCAAGCATAGTGTTTCCATAAAGATCAGATATGTTCTGTTGAAGAGAATTTCCTTGTTGTTCTTGTGAAGTATATTCGGTAGTTGAACAAGATATTGACTGAGTCTCATTTAACTCTACATGGATTTCGTTGTTTGCTGCGCCTTTTTCCGTATCTGACTTTTCCAATCTTTCTTCAATGTCCAGTGATGCTGAGAGAGTATGCGACGAAGGTTTTTCTTTAATTTCAACAACCTCTTCGTCTTCAGATTCCCATTCTGAACTGTCTGATGAATCGCTTGACAAGTAGAGCTCGAAATCAAGACCATGTGTATGCAGGAACGCTTTTTGCTCAAGTTTTGCGAAGTAGCTGTGCTTACTTTTAATATTTTTGACTGTCTCTGTAGCATCTTCGACTTGGGCTGCTCTTTGCTTTAGACGTCGTATTCCTAGGCGCTGTGCTTCGTGTTGAGACATGTTGTGCGTACTTGCAATGACATGCTTTATTTTTTGAACTTCAGATGTTGATGTTGCTGATTTAAGCAAGTCCTGGCACTCATCTTTCCTTATAGGATCTTCCTTTTTAACATTGTCAGTCAGAGGTAACATATCGTAGATTTGATTTATTTCAGAAATTACACCGTGATAGCAGTTATCACTGTTCTTCTCGATCACAACTACGCCATTTTTTAATCGAATACATGCCACTGGCATTTGAAGCAGCCTTCTTTGAGCCTTATCACAATCATATCGTTTTAATGAGAAACATGTTCTCCATAGCTTAGGCAAAGGTATCCACTTCTTTTGAAGTAAATAGTTTGCAGCATCTACCATTTTCTTGCAACCACTTTTGCAGACAGCATGGTACTGACGACAGTTCTCTGCTTTAGCTAGTGAATATTGATTTAAGTTTAGTCCTTCAAATTTACTAACAGTTATTGTATTCCCTGACACTTTTTGTGCGGTACAATTTACAAGACTCTTTTTCTCTTCACGTCTTAAAATTGATACAAGCTGTTCAATTGTTTTAATATTATCACATTCGGTCCCCCGACTAATATTTTGAGTTGGAGGACCTTCTATAACAAAAAATTGTTAGATCCGTCATTTCGAGAACTTGTATTGTTGGATACTGATTGCTCAGTTGATAACACTGAAACAGCTACTTGATCGTGGGTATCTTTAACAATTGGAGATAACACTTTATTACCATGAGGCTTGTCATTCAGTTGAACTATAGTTGATGGATATTTGTCGGATGTGTCAGTGGGCGGTGAAATCATTACTTCGTCTTCAATGGTACTTGGGGATATAGACACGACAGCTTCCTCCACACCAGTCGAAGTGGATATCAATTGCTCGGTTGATAACACTGAAACAGTACTCCAATCGTGGGTATCTGTGACAATTGGAAATGACACTTTATCACCAGACTTGTCATTCAGTTGAACTATAATTGATGGATATTTGTCGGATGTATCAGCGGGCGGTGAAATCATTACTTCGTCTTCAGCCGTACTTGGGGATATAGGCAAGACAGCTTCTTCCACACTAGTGAACAGGCTTCTTATATCCACTGTCGAACTGGAACTACTTTCGGCAGGTGGTAGTGTATTACTTTTTTTCTTTTTTTGATACCAAGTGCTCTTCCTTTCCTTGGTCTGCAGCATTTTAAGCATCTTTTCATGATTAGCTTTTTCTTGGAACAGTTTTCTCATTTCTCCTTGGACTTTTGAGCACAAAGCAAAGTCCTTTACTGCGCTGGCTTTGCTACACAACTGTTGCTTTGAGGATATTTGATTTTTGATTAGTTCTAGCTGAATAGAGACGGACGAAACTTGTTCTTTTCGCTCGTCTGAAGAGGTTTTTGATCTTTTCGGCTTTGGTCCGCTTTCTTGTTGAACGTGAATGCTACGAGATCCAGATGGTTTCTTGAAAACATATGTTTTACGAGCCTCTGCTTCTGCTTTTATTTTTAGCTCTGCCCTGTTATATAGCAGGTCTGGATCGTGTTTGGCAAACTGAAATGCAGCATTATTGACAGCTTCTTGCCAAGCAGTCAGTTTAGCACTTTTTTTGTTAAATCCAAAAATCATGGAGTTTTTTTTGACAATATCTTCGCTTAGGTGTTTGGGTGCTTTGAGGACCTTTTGACCGGATTGATCTATAGAATAGTAAAACATTATTTTGTACCACTTTTTCCGCAAAATATTAACTGTACGTACGCTAGTACTAACATACTTTTGTAATAACAGTCTTCTAGTGTAGGATTATTTTTGTGTTGCTTTAAAGTTGTATGACCATTCATAATGAAAATCGCCAGTTGTTTTGATATATAATATTTAATCAATACAATAACATACCATCCATTATGATAGCAGATTCAATGTCCTTGTCACCAGCAGGGTCTTCTTTGCGTGTCATAATAAATATAGTCGCCGATCCAAACTCTAAGAACGTATCTTCTTCTACTTCAGTTCCATCATCGTTTGTATAGATGTTCACTTCCTCTTCTTTTGAAAAACCAAGCTTTTCTTTGCCTATTTTATTGTATATTCAAATGGCAGGCTTTAATTTTTTCCAAATATATGAAAACATATTGAAAACATATAGTAATATAGAAAATACAAAAAAATATCATAGCATATTGAAAAATGTGATTAAAATGCATATCCCTATTATTTCAAAATATTAAAACATTAAAGTATAATAGTATTATTAAATAGATATATGTTATAATTTATATCCTCTTCTTTTCAAAATACTCTCGTTTCGAAATGGCTACACTCTAATATTGAATTTAAAAGAATACTCCATCCAGTTCTAGCATTCAGGTCAGTGGCAAAGACTTGACAATTTGAAATAGCTCATGAAAAACTCGCTTGTTTTTTGTAATTGTTGTAAATGAGGAAATAATAAAGACAATAAACAATATTAAATTCTACACTTGTACAAATATACCATACAAAAACAATAATTTAACAAGCTATTTTATATATTAAAATTTCAAATGATCGGCTCAAAACAGCAATGCCGTTTCTTTTTTAAATGCTCGCCATTGCAAGTTCAACTAGTTTTTATCTATAAAATATCATAAAGACACATACTTTTTAAAACAAATTCTGTAAAAGAACAAGCAATTACAGCCTTTTTAACTTCCCTGGTGGAGCTCCAAACTTTATACAGCGGCATTTTTATACATAAAACTTTAAAACTATTTATCCCGTGTAGTGTGTTTTTTATACACGTGAAAACAAATCACGTTTGTCAAGGTTCATCTACACCAAGTACTTAGCTAGCGCGACCGCTGGCCAATTTTGCGCCAGTGATGAGTCAAATAAAAGGGGTCAAATGCCCGACAGTGCGGGAATGTTTTCGCGTCAAATTCCCGCCTATGCAGGTTTAACCTCTGGTCAAGTCCCGGGGGTTCACCCGGGGGGGGGGGGGATGATCGCAGTTGGAATTGACTCATGCATAATAAATATAACAAGCTGTTTACATAATAATAAACTATACAGCTAATTCAATTAAGGTTGTCTTTCCAAAACCTTAAGGCCCGTTTACATGGGGATTTTTGCTGCGATATTCTTCTGATGGATGTGAAGAAGTGGATGAGTTACAAATGTACCAGGTTATGAAATTTCATAACAAGGTCATTAAGTAATCTACTCCTTCACATCCTCCAAAAGGAGAAAATTGCAGCAAAAATCACCCGTGTAAACGGGCCTTTAAGCCTTAAACTCTGAGCATGCAAGGGATGATGGGTTGGTTTTCAAATATTTGGCCTGTAATTAAACTTAGAGAATTGCCTTTGTAGGAATTGTGTTTTCTACTGTGCATCTTCTATGTCTCTTAGGCATTCTTGCAAAGCCAATTAACCCATTGAGTGGCGATGCACTCTACTTTTACTCTGTCTAACGCCAGACAATTTTACTTGTCAAGGGGAGAGCACTAGCGCTTAATGGGATAACTGGCCTATCTGCCCATGTGTCTAGTTAACCCAATGAGTGGCGATACACCCTGATGCACCCTACTTTAGTATTTTAATTACTCTGTCTAACACCAGAGTATTTTACTCTGTCTGACACCAGACAATTTTACTCATCAAGGGGAGAGCACTGGAGCTTAATGGGTTAAATTTAAGAGTTTATGAGTCTAAATAAGCAATAACCCAACATACTTTACTTGCTCAGAGTTTAAGGTTTACGTTTTTGGAAGGACAACCTTAGTGGACCTATTCCCTGATGAACAAAACTTGATCCAGACAAGTCTAGACAAAGCATCACAAAATTAGTAATATTCCGACGTTTCGTTGCAAAATGTTGTAAAATGCGGCTACTATATATTATATAGCACTGCAAAGTTTCCCGTTTTTCAGTTATTTTGTATTACGCAAGAGAAATTGATACCTTTTTTCAGAAAGCGTGTGCGTGATGCTCTTTCAAGCTGTGATGAAATTTTTGTCATAGGTCCATTGAATTAGCTGTATATTAAGTAAATGAACAAATAATTACTAAATATAATCGGCTGTTTGAATTAGTAACCATATAAATTATAAAATTATAATGTATAATTGTCAACTAATCTCAGTTTCTTGTTCAATTCATTGCTCTTCCTTCCCTGCTCTTTGTTGTCCAGTTTGAATTTTATTGCTTTTACAATGTCTTCTTTTCAACAGGACAGCTGATATTGTTGTATTTTAACATCCATTGCATGTTCTAGAAAAATAGACAATTTTTCATGTAAGTTAACACAGTTTCACATTACAGTGCATCTACAGTAGGTGCATGGGGCCACTCAAAGATCTAATCTGTGATCAGGCCTATAAATAAATAAATATACCTGATACAAATCTTAATTAACAAAAGTCCATGTCTATGAGACAGAAGATTTTTTTCTGTCATTTGATTGGTTGGTGTCAAATTGAATATACTATTGTTGTCCATATATGCATGTTATAGTGATCACAACTATAACTAGATTCTTGTTGTCGTTGTGTAAAGTAAGTGAGGCATGAACCTTATATAGTTGAATACCATAGATGAATTTGATGGATATTTATCTATCCTACCTGATTGGATATAACTATCCAACATTTCTTGTATAATTACTCCTAAGGTATTAATAAGTGATACTTGGGCAAACAGTCCAGAGTCGATAAGTAAAATTGTCTCACATGAGACATATACATGTCAGAATTAAATATCAAAGTACTTAAAGTAGGGAGTGTTAGGGAAAATTGCCTTTCTTTTGCTCCCTTTAACTACTTTTTGCAAAACAAAAATGTCACTCCATTCTTTAATTTAAGACAAACCATACCATCTTAAGGTTGGGTTGCATGTATACCTCCTTAGGTATAAATAGGTGAATGGGCAAGCAGTCAATAAGTAAAATTGTCTCATGTGAGACATACATCAAACTTAAATATCAAAATACTTAAGTACAAGGCAGTGTTAAGCAGTGCTAGTGTGTTCAATTATTAAATAAATGTGCCTTTGGTATGAGTTGATATTACAATTCCACAGTTTGCTGTTAGCCAGTCAGAAACCAGAATTTTTTTAAATAAATAATAATAAGATTTATCCTTTATATATAAGATAATCTCCATAGTTTGTCATAATCATCATGAATTACATAACATGACTATTCATATTGGTACCATAGGTAGCCCAACAATCCGCACGCCGTGACGTATGATGGAGTAGTATAATATCCTAAGGTTGGCAAGTAAATAATATCATGACTCGCCACAGCTTAAACAAGTCGAAAAAAACAACGTCTCGTGAACAAAGTACGCTAAAAAATAGCAGCCTCTACTTGTAGGATAGTTTTACTAAATATGTACAACGTTTTTTTGCAACAACACGAGTTTATAAGACGAAAAAATACGAAAGTTTTCTTTGAATTTGCCGTGTCTCGATGCGGGATGCCTGTTGCCATGCGAAAATCGCCGTTTCAAAACACGTATACGCGATCCTATTGGCTATCAAAAAACGGACAAAACAGCTTCCAGGGGGGGGTTTACCATTTGTCTGCTAGCAAAAATGCTTTCGAGTTGGTTCGAATGAAAAAGATTACGGCAGTAGTGCACGCAACTGCTATGTTTATAGCCGATCATGTCGTCCGGTGATCTGTGGATTATTTGTCAAAATTTGTCGGTTTTAAAGTATTAAGCGGCGGCAAGGTTCGGTTGGCAGTTTAACTGCACAGGCGACTTTTCAAAACATTATAAATCGACTTGCAAAAACTGAAGCTGATCATCGAACAGATACTGCACGGTGAGTTTTGTGCATGTAGATTGTAGCCGGTTTAGCTATAGTATTGAACTCATTTCCAAAAAATAGTTTTCTTAATTTTGTATGTAGCGCCTATAGCGGGAATGTTTTTTAAAAAACTTTCATGTACAATATATTAATTTGTTTATTGAAGTCGGACGCGAAGACGTGAAAATAGCTGCTGCATGCTAAGTTTTAACACAAATGCGGCGAGAATATGTGTGTTTTTTGAAACTTTCTTGCACTGTCTATAAAGTCTGTAGACTATATACTTGGCCAATATCCGAGTGGTCATAATTAAAAAAAACAAAACGTGAAAATATTAAAATAAAAACTGTACGTTTGAACCTTATACTACAAATATAAAAAATAGAAAATATTTTGATCTTCTCATTTTCCATAGTCTGGCTTTAAATAGGCCTTTATCCTACCCATGGCACATCACTTTAATAAAACATTTTGAGATGTTTATACTGTAGTATATACATGCATGTTGATACCCGAATTTATATATACACAAAAATCTGTTCTGCAAATTAAAGTTGATACTCAAATACTGACACAGTGTTCAAAAATCAACTTTTCGGTTTTATACCTGCACATTTTTTAATTAAAGGACAATGGGTCAATGCTAAACTACAATCTACATGCACAAAACTCACCGTGCAGTATCTGTTCGATGATCAGCTTCAGTTTTTGCAAGTCGATTTATAATGTTTTGAAAAGTCGCCTGTGCAGTTAAACTGCCAACCGAACCTTGCCGCCGCTTAATACTTTAAAACCGACAAATTTTGACAAATAATCCACAGATCACCGGACGACATGATCGGCTATAAACATAGCAGTTGCGTGCACTACTGCCGTAATCTTTTTCATTCGAACCAACTCGAAAGCATTTTTGCTAGCAGATAAATGGTAAACCCCCCCCCCCCTGGAAGCTGTTTTGTCCGTTTTTTGATAGCCAATAGGATCGCGTATACGTGTTTTGAAACGGCGATTTTCGCATGGCAACAGGCATCCCGCATCGAGACACGGCAAATTCAAAGAAAACTTTCGTATTTTTTCGTCTTATAAACTCGTGTTGTTGCAAAAAAACGTTGTACATATTTAGTAAAACTATCCTACAAGTAGAGGCTGCTATTTTTTAGCGTACTTTGTTCACGAGACGTTGTTTTTTTCGACTTGTTTAAGCTGTGGCGAGTCATGATATTATTTACTTGCCAACCTTAGGATATTATACTACTGCATCATACGTCACGGCGTGCGGATTGTTGGGCTACCTATGTTGGTACAAGGTAATGCAGGGTGTAATATGTATACTGGGTTTGGTGATTAATCCAAAACTACAAAGTCCTCTGGCAGTAATCAAACCTATGGCCCTGCGATTCCTGGTCCTAGGTCATAATTAATTGAATAGTGTCTATACATATCAGTGGTGTAACTTTACTTTTTTGACCACTTGCCCTCAGGGCAAGTTGTACATGAAAATTAGTTGCCCTGAATAAAATTCACTTGTCATCAGACAATGGCCACTGGGATACCTAGGTAGGGGGTATGAATTAAGGGGGCAATATGTCGACCCGTTCTCCCACTGCTTTATTTTAGGCCACAAAAAAACAAACTTTGAATCAAGTTATCCGACAATGAAAACATAAACTTAAAGATGCCCAGCTTTTTGTGGCAAGGCAACTTGCCCAATCGGACAAGCAAGATAAAACGTGTACTTGCCCGTCATGATTCACTTGCCCCAGGCAAGCGGGCAAGTGTTATTAAGTTACACCTCTGCATATATATTGGATTATCGACCAAACCGAGTATTCTAGTCCAACCAAGTGAAGTGCAAATAATATCCTTAAAGTTGTAATATGTATAGTAGGCCTATGTTAAGCAGAGACATGGCCGTGGGCAGAGAGTAGGGATATGCTGGATTGGGTTACTGGCATCCGGCAAAATATAGGCCATCCAAAACTATCAATTTATCTATACAGTGTGTATCAAAATAATTCGAATCCAAATTTGGCGTGTAATAACGCAGAATATATTTGACAAATTCGGTTGGTTTTTACACCATTGTTAAGTTTATTTATTTACCTTTCAAATGACATGATGTACGCGTCATTTAGTTGGAAAATGAAGGAGTATTGCTTTGACAAAAAAAGTCCATAAAAATCACAATTTTCCGCCGATGGGAATTGGACATTTTTTCTTTCAAAGTTAGTCCCACAAGGCTTTGAAATGCTAATCATCACTGAAAACTAAAATGCAAATTTAACGCGAATTTCAACATGTTGAAGGCATAGGAGCTTAAATCTCTTTAAATGAACATGAATTTATGTAAATTTTGCTACATAACAGTTTGTTGATTAATTAAATTTGCATTATCTTTTGTTTGTACGTCTCACTTCGAATTCCCATCGGCGGAAAAATTTGATTTGGAGCAACCAGTTTTAACACACGATTTCTTGGTCATTTTTGATCTTATTGATATAAGAACGATATAATCGGAAACCTAATAGGCTATTCTTTATTGCCATATAAAAATTATATGGTTTACTGTAGTATTTTATAAACAGCAGTCTGTCAAATTTGGATTCGAATTATTTTGATACACACTATATAACTATCAGATATTTATGCTTAATATATAAAGTGATAAAGCACGTATTAAATAAACTATGGACTATTGTTAGTGAATCTGATTATATTTCCTGATTTTTGAGAACAATATTTGGAGCCGGTGTCACAGCGGATTTGGATCCCCCGGTCCAAATCTCCTAGTAGATATGGACCCCCCAGTCCAAATCTCCTAGTAGATATGGACCCCCTTTAGCGGATATGGACCCCCCTTTTTTTAAACACTTTTATATACTAAAACAAGCCCAATAAAGGTGAATATGTTAAATTCATTAGTTTTCAGATACCCGGAGCTTCTTATCAACATACAAGCACTGCCCAGCTCAAATATTAATCTTGAAATATACAAAGACAACATTCGAGGCACTGTCTCAGCACTATCATTGCAGACATCACTTTATACAAGTGAAGCTCTTTATAAACCCACTATTAAAAGATTCTCCCCTTGACAAGTAAAATCTTCTGACAATTTTTATGGACAGAGTATTATGCAATACAGTAGAGGACTTGAGCTTGACACATTAAGGATAGATTTATATCGACACACTAAAAATAGCATATTAAATGCTGTCGTTCCTTTCTGATTCCAATCCTTATTGAAGTACTAAAATGCAAACATATCTTTAAAAGCATTCGGATGTTTAATAAATATTATTTCTTATAATTATTTACCCAGCTTGACAATAGTCTTAACTCATACTCTTAAGCAAAGTGCCAAGTTATGCCAAAGAAAATATTGCTAAATTGTTAATAATAGTGTGAAATTTAGTATAGAATTCACAATAATAGGTTCGAATTTATATTTCATTCTTTCTTTGCTGCCAGAAACCAACATTTTGTATGTTTTATATGCAAATTGAACGCGGCAAATTCAAACATTCAACGGAGTTTTACACATGGCCCACATGGCTCAAGTTATTTAAACAATCATATTCACCACATTATTTTGCAATTAAAGGGCTTAAATAATAAGTCAAATATAAAAGTATTCTTACCTGTGATATCTGAATAACATGTTAAGAACTTTCCGATTCCTTTCCCACCGCTTGGGTTAAAAATATCAACGAAATATTCCAGTTAAAGCGCGAACTATTGCTGTTTGGGTCTTTGGGATAAAATTCCAATAGGAATGCTTGCATTAGGGACCATCAGGAATTTTATAATATAGAAGTCGTAAGTAGTATTAGACTGTCTGTATAGCGGCGGAAGTGCAGTATAGCGGCGGAAGTAATTAGTATGCAGGAACGAGTAGAGCACCGGAAGTAATGAGTATGCCGGAAGTAATGAGTATGCCGGAAGTAATGGGTATGCAGGAGCAATGACGTCATGGAAACCCGGAAGCAAGGAAATGTTCAGAATGGTGTACAGCGGTGAATATTTGAAAAATTTATTAAGTTTTACAGTAGTTTACAGAGATTTTGATAATTATAATGTTTTTAGAGATTGTGCCAGACGCATCCGCAGAAGGTTAATTCGCCACATTCTAGTGAGAAATCGAATGTCAGGTTTGCCAGTATTTCGTTTAGGATTTCCGTACACTTCTTGTGGATTGTTGTTTGACAGCATCGGGTTTTCTTCAATTCTTGTCCGGTGATTTTGTTTTGTAGACACAAATAACAGAGTTCCTTGTCCGGGAATGGTGCTCTGCAGTACCCGCACCGTACGGTTTCGATATCTGTTCCAATGTAATGTGTCGCCCACATCTGGAGACACCGACAGTGGGCTTTTTGTTGGCAGCAATGCATTGTCATCGCCAGTAGCTCGTTTCCATTAATTTCTTCGAAACAGAAATAGCACTGTCCCGGTTCTGCTGTATTTTCCGCCAGGATTCCAAAGAGAGGTATGTTTGCTGGTGGTATGACATCTTCCGGCGCTGGTAGAACTCCTACGTATTCCATTTCGGTGTGTGGTTGATGATTATGGGGAAGTGTATTTATACTAGAGGTGTACGTACGTGTACGGGGTGTACGTACACCCCGTACATATACTATGTATGTACATGGTGTACGTACACGGTGTACGTACACCCTTAAACTACGTCATGATCATACTCGTCTCTGATTGGTTAGCTGTGTTGGATGGGGAATATAAATAGAGGAGACGAGCGATTTTTGTTTTTATGTTTATAGTTTTTGTGAAGAGATGAGGTGCTTACACGGTGAACCCGCTGCTCATTCGACAACTCAAAATGGTTCCTTCTGGTTTTGCAATCAGAATCCTAGCTGCAATTTCTTTTGCTGCGAGGATGAGGGCTATTTGTATGAAAAGGCTATAACTGCATGGAGAGCTACGAAACAGCCTCACCCTCGGTGTGGTGAACATAGTAAACTTGCGAAAATGCGGGTTGTTAGAAATTTGATGAAAGCAAGTTATGGGAGACCGTTTTTTGTGTGTTCCAACAAGCTGAAGCCGTGTTCATTCTGGGTATGGGGTGATGTACGACCTTTAGTCAAACCAGAGTGTCACCATGGATTACCGTGTATGGTCCGTAAGGTGAAAAAGGAAGGTCTCAATAAAGATCGAGAGTTTTTCTGCTGTTCAAATGACAAGGAATCTTCATGCAAGTACTTTGATTGGGTGCCTGAGGAACCTTATCAAGATGTCAGTTTTGTGGAACCCCTTTCAAGTAAACCACCCGAAAAGCATGAGGAACATTACCTGGCAAACAAATTCATAAACGATTTTGCTAATAGTTTGAACATTTAATATGTGTTATTTTTCAAGAACTGTTATAAAGAATAGGGTTAATAAAAATGTTTATTTTAAATTGTCTAAAAGTCATTAAAAAAGTCTAGATGTATATTATCGATAAAGTCCAGGCTGCCTGGATCATCTAGGAAATCCAGGTCAGCATTATTTACCGACGACTGTCCCAACGGTTGCTGTGGGGTTTCTCGGGTTTCTTGCTGTGTCTCCTGGTTCTGGTCCTGCTTATTGTCCTGCTTGCCTTCATAGAAGGCAAGAAATTCGTCGAGAAAGGACTGATTTTTTTGTTCGGCGTACGCCCAGAAAGCCTCCAGCCTTTTTGTTTTTGTTTTTTTATTAAGTCGTAATTTTCTCTGTCGTTCTGCCTCTTTTTTCTTGTCTTTTCCCATGGCTTTTTGATTTTTGTTTTTGTTTTTTTTCCGACCTGTTGTTGTTTGTGGGATTCCCGCCGTCCCGTGTTTCCACTTGTTTGTTTGCTGCTTCCACTTTTGGAAAATGAGCGTTACGCAATTATTAGTATTAGTTACCAATGAACATTGTGCAATATTTATTTGTGTTTACCACGTTTAATATGATTAATTTTGGCCTCTGTCTTCCCGCGCTTTATACATATTTTTCAGATTATTCCTGTGGCTACAGGAAATTAACAATACATAGTATTGTGATTTTAAATAATAAATATTACGCATGTTTGAAAGGGAAAGATTATTATAGTTCAAATTCAAGATAAGCTGAGCTATGACCGCTGTCTTCTCACACTTTATGCATAGCTTTCAGAGTGCTTGTGTAATTACCGGTTCATTTGCGACTAGTATTTATTCATATACATGAAAGGAGATATTTCACTCGGAATTTAAACAGATCTACGAAATGCTTTCTGTTGTGTTTTGCGTTTTATTTTTTGTGTATGGAAGCACCCCATTTTGTCAGGAACAGCGTCTTGCTGGTTATTTGGACTGTAGTGGTTTGGCGCTGGAAACCATCAAGGGGCTGTGGAAGACAGAACGAGAATGGGTTGTATCGATTGACTTTAGACGTAACCGTCTTGTTCGTTTAAATATAACCGAACTGTTGTTATATTTCCCGAACTTACAACATATTAACGTGCGACACAACGCTGCACTTGACTGTAGAACCGTTTTGGATATTGGGATAGATGTCACGAGTGACTGTAAGTTTATTTCATTTATGTTAGCATTCGTTGCAACTTATAGTTATATAGTTTGACTTTCTCTTCAATTAGGTATGCTGGATACGGTATCGGGTGTTACGTTCGGGTCTACAGACAGTTCCGCACCCCAGACCATGGACCCCACCACACCTCTAGTTTTAATCTGGACCATAACCCCCGCAGGGTCCTTGACTCGGCTTTTAATTCCAACACCCACCGGAGCCTCAGTGGCACCCCGAACCTTCCTCCTGCCCTCGGCCTTAATCCCTACCGCTCCGCGGACCTTGGTCCGGACCCCGGACCCCGGACCCCATCGGAACCCTAACCTCAGCGTCCTGGAACTGAACTGAGGTCCGGAGAGTGGTCGGGATTAAGGTGGGGGTTGAGACTACGGTTTGGGGTCGGATCAGGATCCGGGACGTTGCCGGGATTTGGGTTCCGGTAGGAGGTGAGGTTAAGATCCGGGATTGAACCGGGGTCCGGGGAGTGGTCGGGACTAAGGTGGGGGTTGAGACTACGGTCGGGGGCCGGATCAAGGTTCGAGACGCGACCGAGGTTAGGGTTCCGGTGGGGGGTGGGGTCAGGAACTGGGACTGAACTGAGGTCCGGGGAGTGCTCGGGATCAAGGTGGGGGTTGCAACTACGGTCGGGGGCCGAATCAAGGTCCAGATCCTGACCCCTGCCGCGTCCCGGACCTTGATTCGACCCCTTGCCTTAGTCTCGACCCCCACCTTAATCCCGACCGCACCTTAATCCCGACTGCACCCCGGATCTCATTTCGGTCCTGGATCCTAACCCAAACCCTCACCGGAACCCTGACCTCTACCATAGTCTCCACAAGGGTTCCGACCAGGATCTCGGCTTCGACCCCTAATCTGTACTTCATTATTATCGGGCTGACCGCAGGACTAGTGTTGTTTCTGGGTCTGTTTTACGGCTATAGGCTCTGTGTGGCGGGACGGCGGCAGAGAAGCGCAGCTGTTCTACAAAGGCCCTCTGAGACCGAACTGATGTCACTTGGGCGGTCGGGAAGTGGCGAAAGCACATTAGCAATGTCTCACACTACATTGTAATTATAACATTGCCTTTATGATTATAGGTCTTATATGCATGTAAAGAAACTATATGTACAATTTTGGAATACTAATATACACTGAAGTTCTTAACGTCTGCTGCGTATATGGTTTAAACAGTACTGTACATTTTAGCGTGTCCCGAATGGGTCTTATTTTGAATGCATAGGCACGCTAAAATGAACAGTAAAGAATTGATAGTATTTCGCATTAATATTACAATCTGTTTCAGGAGCGTGTAGGCGTATGTTTACTCTTGTATAGACATTATGTCGAATAATATAGTATAAGCTATCGGGTTTTCCTGTCAAACACACGAGTGTTTATCGGAACATAACCGCTTAGAGCAGAGGTCATTTAAACATAGATACCGTTTCCGCGTCTCCTTTAAGGCTGATTTCCACTGTTGCGTTTTTCATACGTATACGCACGTAAAACTTTAGGTTCGTCTGGATGTTACTTATAAATTAACCAGGTAAGTGGGGCAACAGAACTCAGTGTTCCGCAAGTTTTAGGACGCATTTGTAAATTAGTTAGAAATAGGAGGATTCGAAGTTTTACGTGCGTGTACGTGCGTACAAAAAATGCGACAGCGGAAATCGGCCTTTACAATAGCACATTTTGTACACAAGCTATTTTTGTACATTCGTCATTTCAGAAATGTCATTATAAGTTAACACAACAGGAAGGTATTGCAGGCCCTGCGGGGCACACCCTAAATTAGATTGTTTTTTATAACAGAACATTGGTATTGATAATAGTAAAATAGTGTTGTTTTTAGAAGGATATTAAAATGAACTCTCCTGTACATGGTTTATTTCCTCGTAGGATGAATCTGAAGAATGGGAATCAATTGAGAATTGGCGACGAGTATTGTTTAGTGCAAGGAATTCTCTATAAAATGAACGGCGCCTTCTCCTTCGAACGATGTAAAAACACGCGATGCCGAGTATTGTAATGCCGGTTGGTATTAGAACTGATAGCACCAGGAGGATATGATCTTTGCCGGTGTTGACTGGAGAAGGGGTCGGGACGCTTGCGGTGGAAGGGGTATTATAAACGGTTTTTATCAAGGAGGCTCGAGGTGCTGTCATACGTAGCATGATATTGGATGATTGCGACATAATGGCCGACGCTATGGACATGTTTGTGGTACGGGGGCAGTCACTTATAATGTGTACCCTTACGCGTACTGGCAGCCTGGTACAATCTAGGGGGTTGTGTCGTAAATCCACATGGCTAATATTCGGAAAGTCGGTTGTAACGGCTGAGAGGTTCAAAAAGGATATATTGTTTCTCTTTAAATCGAGGACTTCAACCCAGTAGTGTTTTCCATACCGGGGAAAGGTTGAGATGCCAAGTCTCGAGCAGTCCAAATAATGGTAACTTTTGAACTCAATACAAAGATACGCCAGTGATAACTTTACGAGCACAAGGACGAACATTTTGGACAACATTTTAACAATATACGACCTTGTTCTGTATTTTCCCGCGAAAACGTTTATTCACATGTGACTTTTTAATACTATACTATGAAATGTAGCTAGAATTAGTGCGTCGAGCTAATTGTAGCTTAAGGTAGAACTTTAGATAGGATTTAATATGCTGTATATAAATGAATTTGTTGTATATAAATAAATGGTTTCACATGTTGTATTCATTTGTTGTTTTGTTGCGATGGAAGTGATACTAGACGAATTGCAAGCGCGAGGCGTTGATATTGACATGAGAACATTATCTCATACTACTAGTAATTTGCTTGAACGGACACGTCAAATCATAACGCAGTGCGTGTTATGCACGTGAACACAATGGACGTGAGATTTAAAACACCAGCAAATTTTTATATTTGTGGGCAAAGTCAAAGCGGGAAATCCTATTTGGTCCGTTCCATGTTACGGCATGCAGAGGAACTATTTAATCCTGTGCCGACTAAAATAATATACTGTTACGGCATATATCAGAAGGAATTCGAAGAAATGTTGCAGACAGTTCCCAATTTAACTCTCGTGGAAGGATTTCCCGATAATTTGTGCGAGATGACCCGCGGACATGATAACTCGTTAGTCGTGCTCGATGACTTGATGTCACAATGTTCCAACGATCCACGTGTCTCGGATTTGTTTACACGTGATTCCCATCACCTTGGCATGTCCGTGCTGTACCTTACTCAGAATTTGTTCCCGCCAGGCGAACGTTCTCGAACGATTAGTTTGAATAGTCACGTTCTCATCGTGTTTAGAAACCCACGTGACTCGCTAGGTGTTTCCACGCTTGCCAGGCAGATGTTTCCTAAACATACCGGATACCTTCTGGAGGCATTTCACAATGCGACGGGCAGGCCTTACGGATATTTAGTCATCGATTGTCATCAGCTGACACCAGAGAACATGCGTCTGAGAACCAGCATTTTTCCCAAAGAGAGACAGATTGTTTATGTGAAACGTGCTTAAAAGCTGAACGTGTATTGAAAACGGTTCATTTGCAAGATGTCAAAACGTATGAAAGGAAGTCTTCCTTATCTTCAAGTCATTGTCAAATCTAAACCTAAATTGCGAAAATTACTCATCGATAACGTTCCAGCGAATGTCATCACAGCTATTTGTGAGTGTTCCTTGAATTTACTTAAAGGTGTCATTCCGGTAACACCTCGGCAAAAGCGACGTTTTGCACGTTACAAGACACATCTCCGTGATTTAGCCAATAAGAAAGTGTCAAGAAAACGGAAGAAGTTGTACCTTAATCAGAAAGGTGGAAATTTATTGTCAGCTGTCTTACCACCAGTGTTGAATGTACTTGGAAGTTTGTTAGTATGAAGCATGCGAAACGCATGGTATTGGTCCCGGAGGACGTGCTTAATCGTTATGAACAGAAACAAAAGATTGAGACCTCCCCAATTACAGCCAAGATGATGCATCAGGATACGGTGATGTCAGAGATTCTTCAGAGTACAGGCATGTCCGATGTCGAAAAACAGAAATTGTACAATGCGAACATGGAAAGTTATCTGAGTTTGAAGCGACAGAAGGACGATCAAGTACCTACAGTCCGCATAGCACCGGATACGGAACAGAAGTCCAGAGGGAAAGCGCCTTTATCTGACGTGGACGTGATCGGACATTTACCTGTAACCCTACGCCCGAAAGCCGCAACTCTTTTGAGGCGTTTGAAAGCAAGACCCGACGTGTTTTCCTGGGACGACTCTGGGCAAGTTAAAGTGGACGGTAAGGAGATTCCTGATTCGAATATATCGGATCTGGTGAGTGATGCCATGCGGGCACGTAAGAATTTTAATCCCAAGGGAGCGCAGGAATTCTTTCGCGGGCTGTCAAAGATTAATGTACCCAAAGATATTGCAAGAAACACAGAAAGATGGGATCAGGTTCAAATGGGCAGTCCGCCTGGCGCGGAAGAGGCTGTTTTTAAGACACCGCCACCGAGACCACCGCCACCAACATCACCACGTGCAAGTCCCGCGAAATATATCCGTGGTTTACTCAGAAGACAGGCGGCGAAACCAAAACAATGGCTTCCTTATTAAAAAATGTTGTAACTGTTTGCATGTACTAATAAAAATGTTTTAAAAATCAATTTTGTATTGACGTCAATTCTTTGGGGCAGTATTTTTATGCACGGTTCGCATGTGGGACACAAGTTTGTACGCATGCGCAGAATAAAAAGAACACACTACAGCTTTTACAACAATTTTATTGAAAACATCTTTCTACTGAACTGATTAAGGTTAACATTGGAATGTTTTAACAATACCTTAAAATGGCTCTTAACAAACTGGGATACTTTTGTATCATTTAAAGTCGTATCATTGTTAAATAAATGTACGATATTACTCATGCTCTGACCTCTTGCTCTATGGTTAAGGTAAAATATGCAATACTGGCCACATACATCCGACCAAGCACTTTGCAATTTACGTCTATTAAAATCCCATACGCAAGACTTTAAAAAGTCTCCAAACGATTTCCTGTAGTACTCGGGTGCATGCCCGTAACTGTCAAAGAATTCTCCTTTCTCTTCCAATGGAAAGTAAAAGGCGACCCAGTGGGTTCCAGGTCCACTGCTCGTATCAGTGTTCGCAACGAATCCACACGGATATCTCTCGATCGTCTGAGGCAGCTTGTCGCTAGGGAACACACCGCAAAACTTCTTGCTTGTTACGGGATCTTGTTCCAAGGCATGGGTTATCTGGGCAGTATTCATCCAGAATAATCGTAGACAACGTTTCTTTCGGAATCAATGTGCACGGTATTCTCAAACTCTCCGTAGTAGCATACAAGACTCACAGCATTTGCAGGCGCTGCGGAAAACTGGATATCAATGGCCAAAGTCCCTTTCTGCACAGCGTTAAAATGAGGAGAGGCTCCACACATGTCCGGTGTTAAATCAAAGGCGTACACGGCGTAACCCTTTGGAAATTCTTCTCGGGATATATCGTTTCCTGTGTTGTGATACATTTTTCCCGTACCAGAGAACAGTGTGGTAAATGCTTCGATGTATTTAGGTGCTGTGCCATAGGAAAGCTGCAAGGGTTTAAATGGCATTTCTTCTCCGTTGACGGTTATTCCAATGGAGGACACGCTGAAATGTTGGAAGTTGTACGGATTCTTTTTTAATGCACCATTGAACGCGTCGCTTTCGACCATACCAAAGACAACTGTTTTTGGCACCAGTCCATTGAAAAGGTTATCCTTCCTTAGGGAGGGATTTCCAGCGGGAACGATGAAGCTCTTGCATTCGACGCGACGGATAGGATAGATAGCAGGTCCCTTTTTCAGAGCTATTTCGTGAGCCACGGAAATGCTAGGATTGATTTTCACTTTACGTATCTTGAGATAAGCATCAGTAAGTTTCACGCGGAAATCGGCATCGTCTTCGGAGGCCATCAAACAGAACTCGTCGCTGCTTCGATTTAAAATAACTTTTAGATCCACGTAGCTCAACAGGAGACGTTCGGACATGAATATGTTGCTGAATATGGGGCCAGTCATTTCAACAGTTCCACTTGCTTTGCTGAAAACGTATCTTGCTCTGAGACCAGCGTTGCCATTACCACCTGCCACCGTAGGATCCGCGACATCCATTTTTCCTGCAGTGTCTTTGTAATACAACGCAGCTGTGAGCTGTGAATCTTTTGCAGAGGGACCGTAGTTCAGAAGGGTTTCCAAGTAAGCACGGTACGCATAGGTTCCGGTAGCCTGAGTGACCTGTTTCCCTTTCAAAAAGACATCCACCTGTTTGAACAGGCTGTGGAGGAAATTGTTCACCACTCCAACCTTAAACGGATTAGAAGGAAATTAATATTTGAAAACGGTGTATTCAATATGAAAAACACCATACCTTTTCGGCTGCTCCGAGATTCGTGCCATCTGGTTTTGTCACTTTTGCTCTCACCACAAGAATCGTTCTAGCAAGGTCCACATAATCTTCAGTGCCCGGAGACAGGAACGTAATGACACCACCATCGGCTACACTGGAAACGGGTTGATGATCTACCCAGTGTCCTTTTTCTAAACTGATTTGTGTTGGGGGCACAGAGAATAGATCGAGTTCGCTTTTTGTGCATTCTTGCGATTTGGAATGTACGAGATTCATGATTTTAACCAAATATGTCCGCAGCTGTTTTCCGTCTCTTGGTCTGTCTGCGTCTGGCTGCAGATGCCGATGCCTTTCTCTTTTTAACTGTTTTCCGTTTCTTGCTCTGACTGCGGCTGACTGTAGATGTCTTTCTCTTTTTAGCTGTTCACTTTGCACTTCTTGAACGCTTTACACTTCTTAAGCGCTTCCGTTTTCCGCTCCCCGTTTGACTCCTTAGTGTATCGATAGCTTTTCTTTTTGCAATGTTGGCGGCCTGTATGGATCGTGCTTTTGCTGCTGATTTCACGTTTCTACCTGCCAGGACATCGCCCACAAAGTCTGTCCCACTTTTCAGGGCAATGTTTCCAAGAGCTTTCGCTCCACTTTTGATCAAAGGCATTGCTTTTCTTGCAAGAGTACGGAACAGTCCTCCCAGCCCGTACCCCACCTGCCAGGGGCTGCCTTTGAACACTGGCATGCCACGCCCTTGTTGTTGATCCAGGTAATAACGTACGTACGGATTATTCATTCTCTCAGGTAAAATAAGTATGCTGTCTGAAATGTAGTGTCTCTATGACTTTCCCACGTTCGAATGGCACGTGATCACCTGTGTCGTTCCTTAAAAGAATTTTCACGTCTCCGAAGGATTTCGTTTGGACAGGCACGTATTGTATGTTGGTAAACGTTTTCGTAACGATATCACCATACTTTCCTTCGACGGGAACGTTTCGAAGTAACTGCGCACTCGTATCTCCGACGATCTGTGGTTGAACGATATTGCAGTATGTGTAGATCGTCGAAAAGATATTTAAATCTACTACGTGAGGACTTTCACCCGTTTTGTCAATTTTCACCTCTTTTCCACCGAATCCCAGGATAAGGGACAATTTGCCGGAAAAAAGAAAAAGTTTGCATTTGGGTTTCAAGTGAACGGTCACTTTTCCCGTTAAGGCACTGTACGTTAGATATATGTCAGTATTATTACCGATCTCTTGTTCCAGAGCATCGTTCATACCTTTAGTGAACTCTTCCATAGTCCCATAGTGTCCGTACTTTATGACCGCAGATGATATCCATTTATCGGTAGAACTCAAATAAAGGAAGTGAGTATCCACATTAATATCCCGCAGGGTATACCACGTGTAGGGATAGGAAATAGAGTACAGTCCGACTTCCCAATTGCCATCCAAATCAATGGGTTGCGGTAATTTTACACGATATTCGGTTGTTTTGTTATCGGGAAAAACGTCCAGGGACGCATTGCTCGGAAGCGTGAGGTAAAAGTGTGTTCCGCTCATTATGAATCCCCGATGAGAATAACAAACAAACAGCACGTTCAACGGTTTAAATCTTATTTATTTCAGAAGCGGGTACCCACGAGTTAAATTTACCGGGGTACCCTAACCATTTTACAAGATAATGTACATTACTGCCACGTCCACGTTTTTTCAGGATCTTTTCAATTTCGTAGACGTCATCTTCCTTAATGATCTTTTGCAACTCTTTCTCGTAAAATGTTCCTTTGAGTTCTTCACCGTCCAGATCCTTTAGTTTGTACACAGGAGGATCTCGAGGTATTTGTTTGCTTATTGTAAAGATCTCTTTGGAGAAATTCGGCAAGTATCCCTTTTCAAATGTTCGTTTCATCTTGCTAATTCTCACTTGATCGCCAATCCTAAACTTGTACTTTACATTTTTCGCTACGCTATGCTCATCATACAGGGTGTGCCACACTTCCTTCTCGTTCCCAGCAGTAACGTCCACGGGTCTTGTCCTGATGCTACGGTGAACACTGTGATTGTAAGAATAGACCAGATTGGGTAACATGTCAATGTATCTCATCGTTTTCTTCGCTGTAAAGTAGCGCCACATTTTCGTTTTTAACGTACGAATCAGGCGTTCCACGATAGAAGCTTTGGTTTCATTGTACGTATTGTACAGTTCGATGTCTTCTTCTTTCATTAAAGCCCGAAAATGTCTATTCAAAAACTCCGTGCCCTGATCCGTCATGATCTTCTCGGGTTTACGTCCAGACGCTAAAATTACTTTGAAAGCTTCGACCAGCGTGGGACCTGTCTTGTTTTTCAACGGGACTACCCATGCATATTTGGAAAAGACATCGATGCACACGAGTAGATAACGATATCCATCATTAAACTTCTGCATGGATTGCATATCCGCCAGATCCATTTGCCATTGTTGATCGATACCCCCTACAATGACACGGTTTCGTTTAAAGTGGCGGCGCATGGGTCTGTGCAGTGTGTATGCATCTTGTTTCATCAGCCATTCCCTAATTTCTTTACGACTTAGCGCAAATCTTCCTTCCTTCTTAACGTCTTCATACAAACGTTTCGCACCGCCAAATCCTCCAGGTCGTTTTGGATCGTAATACACGCTAGATAAGTAGTCGTCCATGTTCACACGTGAAATGACAAAATCCTTTCATTCTTCAACGTTTTCAATACTATTCTCCTGGGTCTTTTCAATGGGATTGTAATTTTTGACGGTTTTACTACAGTATCCCACTTGTACATGCCCCTCGAGATTAAGATCATTTCTCCCTGCGCTTATACCGATTCTAAACATTTTCTGTTTATTATGATTTTTATTGACCTTTGGATTTTTACTAGCAGAGTGTCCCATGACGCACACTCTAATATGAGAAGGTTTTTAAAGGTACACGCACATATAAAACGTTTTTTCCTTTGGGAAGAAACAGTCATTACTTTACATTAAAGAGTAAACATGTCTAAACCTATCGATATCGACAATAAGGAACTTGTTCTCTATCATCGTCAGAAACGTATCATCAAAAAACTTTTAAAAGTTTCAGCTGAAGAAATCGCTCCTATCATCTCTCAGCTCGTTGTTGAAAATTGTAACGGTTGCATGACAGAGCATCTGTCTCAGACGCATCATCAGTGTCTTACGATGGAAAGAGACGAACGGTTATGTCTATACTTTGACCATGCTCTGGAAAAGGCTTCGGAAACAAAAGTGATGGAGGCTTTTACTGAAAGTTTGAGCGATATGAAAGTACATGATTTCGAATTGATTGAGTATACGGCGGACGATTGGAAAACTATCTTTTGCGTGAAACACAGGCGAGCATTGAAACACGTGATCTTTCAGTTATTGTAACCTATAAAAGGCATGATGCCTCTACAGATTTCATTCAATGTTGGACAGCGTCAGGATGACCATCGCTATACTATTTTTCATTAATGAGGAACTTGTATTTCGTCGTAACGTGTGTGCTACTAATCTGTACGATAAGATTCTAGAGGAATTTTCCGAAGAGGAGTTAATAAGACACGGAGTACCGTATTATGAAGACGACAAGGCAATTATAACAGACCAAGACTTTATCGAGAAAGTGTGGTATGCATGCGTCGAACACGGATACATTTCCGAGGACCGTGTCACAATGGGACAGTCCATCAATGCATTACATATTATTCCATAATCAAAACCTATAAAGGATACTGACTCTTTAGTTCCCTAATCATTTGAAGCAAACATGGCTTGGAGGAACATTGTCACTCACTGGCTCTCGGACAAAATTATTTCACAAGAGGGAAATTTGGCAACTCTGGATTTGATGAAACTTTTGATAGAGAAGAATATAATACCAGCAACGCTTATTGACAATGCGACGTTGCACTCCATTATGTTGACACAAATCATACTGGAAACACTAACGGGTATAACGGTACCTCGGGCCCCCCAGGGGAACACCTTTACCTACCAGATGAACGCTAGAGAAATGATCATGTGGGACATGGCTAGAAAAAACGAAAAGCAGATCGATGCACTGGAGAAGGAAACGGGGGTGAATCTGGATCATTACCACAAACTGAACATTAAAAATTAACACAGAGATCAAACCGTCTTTGTAAAAATATTTATTTCAACTGTAATGAACAACTGTTATGTCTTAGTACCCATAAGGTAATGTTCTGTAATCATCCATAATTACACGTTTATTATAAACTATTCTATAGTCCTTTTTCATGCGCCTCGTTTCAATTTCCATGGTTCGGATATTTCTTGTGATTCTAAACGGAATGTCCACAGACACTTGCCCCGTCACTCGACATTTTGCATGTAAATACACCAATCCACGAATCACATTAAAGTTCACCTTTTGCCTCGCCGTGCAGTCTAGAGTGATTCCACGCACTTTGGTCTCGACTTTACCGGTGTTTGTCCGATAACAATAATTTTTTGGACCACCTGACGCGAACACGGTGATGTGTTCACCTCCTAGCTCGTCGGTTAATTCGCCGAGATGGTTGCCCAAGGAAGGTTCGGGTTCATTGAGTTTGCTGACAAAAATCACTGAGTCGGTATCGTAATACATCACTCTCTCTTGCAACATGTCCAGCACGTCGTAAAGCTTGAGACGGGCATAGGCGGTGGTGAAAGCAGCAATGACCACGTTGGTCTTGGCATCGGGTTTGACGAAATTGTCCGTATACTCGTACCGGATTTCAATGATGTCGTCACTCACCAGGCCGGCATCGAGCACGTTGATTTCATCTGAGGTAAGGTAGTCGAAGAATACTTGTGGATCTTCTATCTGCTCGGTTTTCACCATGTTGGGTCGTTGTGCAAATTTACCTATACGAGAAACTGTTTAAGTATCACGTAGAGAAAACATATCAGTGAAACCATGGTACTCACCCCAGAACGAATTCAACATCAATTTCGCCAGAGCGCGTAAGCCAGGATTGCGCTCAATCTTGTGTGGATCTAAACGGATTCCCGACTTCTCAAAGTACTCGTTCACGTAATGCTGTCTCTGCTCTTCGGTAACACATTCGCTCGGGTACCCACTTGCCTCTTGTTTAATTTTCAAGAACGTGTCAATGTATTCTTTAAACAATTCACTCGAGGTCTCGGGAAAGTGCCACACCTCGTGGAGTCGTAGAATCTGGTACCCTTTTTCCAGTGCTTTCTTCAATTCGATGTGACACCATGTACCCTGAATGGCTCTTTTGTTGTTGGAATGATCGCAGGGGGCCTGGTTACATGTGTCGGCACATGTCTTGCAGAGGGGAAACATCAACTTGCCTTGCGTGCGGTATGGCAGGACAGGGTGGAACAGGCCTCGTGGTGGAAGCACCGTACACTTGATTAATCCAAAGTAATTGGAGATGTCGTCGTCAAAGTTTTCGGTGATGATGTTCGGATGGCCAACAACTGTCTCTGTTAGGGCGTTACAAAACGGGTATAAGCTGGTGAAATCCACGTACCTGTAAGAGAAATGACGTCATCACTCGAGTTGCTCTGACGTCATAATTAAACTCAAAATCATTTTACCTTATTTTCTCATCGTCTTCGCACTCATGGTAGAGTCTCGACGCATTGGTTCGTCCTCCATACAGAGCGTCACGAGGCTCCAGAGAATCGACTCCATCATAATTATCAAAGTAATGTCTCATGTCCTCATCATCTGCCAGTTCTCGTTTGATTCCACACTCCCAAACTTCTACGACGTTGTAGCCTTGATTTTTTAAATACTCGGTCTTTTCCGCGGTCGTTTGACGAAGATCATGCATGGTTTTACCTTTGACAGGATTCATCGTGTCGCGAGTGTAACAGTTTATACATCCTTTAAGAAATAAACAAAAATACTATTCTAAAATACTATTCTAAGGGGCGTCTATTCGAGGGAGGCGTTTATTCAAACACTTACCATGCCAGAAACATCCATGAACTTCATAGGCCGTGTGGGTTTCCTCGTGATAACCGTCCAGCAAATACCGACCAACACGCTTCTCTCCTCCATTACGATTATGCTGTATGTCAATTTCGTTTCGCTCGGCCGTATACGACAACCATTTTTGGGCAAGAAGGGACTGGACGTTCTCGGGACAGTAACCGCGTGGTGGGATGATGGCAATGGTGTTCTCTTCAAGGTAATTGGTCCGATACACTAGATTACACGCGGACGCAATGGTAAGGCATTTCTCAAAGGGATCGATGTCGGTGACGTTACGAAACAGTTCGCGAAACTCCAAGCAACAACGCCGTAGAATATCCACATCGGAACGACAATAAGCAAGAATTTCCTCTTTGAAGTTGAACACGTATTCGTTGTCCTTCAAATTTCTATGCCAATCTAAAAACTTTTCTTTGGCCGCTGGACTCATTCCGTTCGGGTTGTAGTAGGGAGTGGGTGGGATCGGTCCCACATAATTTTCATTTTCTTTCTTGTTGAAAAGATGCGGAAAGTACCCTTTTGCGAGTTCGTCGATACCAAAGGTTTTTGGAAAATCTGCTAATCTCATCGGAATAAAGTTCAAGGAGTCGATAAATTTTATCTTGAACATGTCCACGGATAAGGAAAGGACTTTGGCCCCGCGCACGATGACATCGTACTTGACACCGTTCTCCCGTAAGTACTGGAGAATAAAGTAACTGTCGTACCCCTGGAAATTGTGAGCCATCACCACACAATTTGCCCGTTCCTTTTGAAATAACCATTCACAAAACTCGTTCCGTGTGTGTTATCCCCTTCAAATACCCATTCGTCACCGGCTTCGTTCTGAATCACACATAAATTGGGTTCATGATTTCCATTTTCCTGACGACACTCGAAATCAAAGAATAACATCTGGTCGTACCCGCCTTCCGTAACATCATCCTCAGGGTGCTCAGACGAATCGTCACTGTCCGATAAACCTTCGTTTCGTTTTTCCACGGGCTGCATGTAACACCGATGGTCGCCGGGTCGAGTGTACTCTTTACATATTAAGCATTTTGTCATGCCACAATGGTGTTTCTCGGGATCTCTCGGACCTCGTTTGATAAGTCTATGACAGTCAGGACATTTAATCATCGTCGCACAGATCGATTTTCCGCTTGACTGTTTATGCCGATCGAAACACGCTTGACTTTTGAACATCCGGTTACAATCACTGCAGTGAACCCAAGACTCGATGGGACAATCGGGAAAACGACAACACTGACAAGCATTCGGGCACAGGTGATCTTCTCGATGATCATAAGCTTTCTTACATGTATGACAGTAGTACGATCGCTCAAAAAACCCTGGCATTTTGGTAATAACGTCGTAATGATTATCGTGAAGATAGAGATAAATTCTCTTTTCCTGATCGGGGCCAGTATAAATAAGAGCGTTCTGATGATCTTTGGACACAATATTGATCTGGTAACTGGAAAGGTACGTCTGAAACTGTTTGACTTCATCCAGTCCACAGGGACCCAAAGGAACGGCAGCATTCTGGTGTAATTCACGAGCCAAACGGACTTGCATAGCCCTGCGATGATCAACAATGCTCGTATACTGTGGATCGTTATCAATTTTGGCTTTCGCAACGACCAAAGCCCTCGCCAAACAAAGTTGATCATTGTTCCGGATCCGTATGATTGAGCGTTTCTTCATTAAATGCTTTTCCAAATTAATTTCAGCTCGCTTCGTATGCTTGCCTCCATGAGGCATTTCCACATGAACAATATTGACATCCACACTTTCGTTGAGATGAAAATGGCGATTGGACTGGATCACGCGTTCGAACTCTGCCAACACACGTTCCGTAGTGAGACGTTCACGAGGCATAAACGGAAATGAAATAGGATTTTCCAGTTGCGTTGAGTGTAGAACGAAACGTACCTGGTCATGGGGAGGAACGCCGTGCGTAACTTCATTAAGCAAGCCTTGAAATATTTCATGCAGCCTTTCATGATATTCGGAAAGCTCCACATTCGCAAATGCATTCGTAAATTGAATACGATAATCCATACCCGTGGTTCTGAACTTTTTCACATTCACTTGTTTCACACTCTGCACCGTAAAAATGTCGTCGCTAACCTCGTTCCCTTCCTGTCCAGGTTCATTATCGTCGTTGGTTTCTTCAAAAGATCTTTTCTGTCCGCGACCGACTTGTGGTTCATCGCTGCTCGTCCCTTCACAAGATTTTTTCTGTCCGCGACCGACTTGTGGTTCATCATCATCGCTGCTCATCGCACAAAATGATCTTTTCTCACCTCGATTAATCTGCACCGGAAGCTCTTCATCTTGCCAATCGCGTAAAAACCTCTCGCGTTGTTCGGGCGTCCAGGTATCGGTAAGAGTAGGTACTAGTCCTAACCGTGCGTTTTCCAAACGCCATTCCTTTATGCGCATAAAAATCTCCATTTTCTTCTCAAACACCAAACGTTCCTCAAATTCGCTTAATGCGCCCTGATTTTCCAAAGCCAAAAGCTCCGCTATCGTTTGACATTCTTTAATCTTTCTCCCCATATCTAAACCAAAAAACGATTCGCTCAAACAAAATTATTACACAAATTCCCTTTAAGTAAATCTTAACATTTACCTGAAAAATAAATCCGTTCTCAAACAAAATATCCACCAAAGCTCTTTCAATGTAAACAGTATATTTGAAGTGACTTCCTAAGTGAAAACTATGAACACAATAACGATAATCGCTCGTCTCCTCTATTTATATTCTCACACCAAACACAGCCAACCAATCAGAGACGGGCACAATTATGACGTAATTGGTGTACGTACACCGTGTACGTACACCTAATTTATATTCGTACGCATCAACCAATCAGAGATGGACATGACGTAATGGTGTACGTACACCGTGTACGTACACCATATTATATAAAGCAAATTGAATCATACTATATAAAGCAAATCAAATACACAGTCAAAATGAACTCGTGTGAGCAAGTATTCTGGGCAAAGTGTCTGAACGTAGACGAAGTTGTGCCTTGGGAAATCAGAAACCTGTGTAATCTAATGAATGCTATCTTTTCGGAAGCCGTTGACTGTCAGGTCCAAAAACTTCGAAAAGAAAAATGCTGTGGTTGTGAAGTCAATCATCCAAGCCAGAAAAGACATGACTGTCTCATGATGTCCGAAGAAGAGGGATGGCTAATGCATGGACCAGAAGCAGTAAAGCAAGTGATCGAACATCAAACAGTTTCGAAACAATTCACCGAAGCTATACGCGTCATGAAACTAGACACTCATGAAGATGTCATTCAACATTTCAAAAATTTAACCAAAGACCCCGAAACAACCGCCGAATTCCTAAAAGATCTGAAGTTTAAGTCAAACCTTCCTGAATATCAAGCCATTTTGGGATATCTCAGCTACTGGAGCGAAGAACATTAAACAATTCATAGTTTAAAAACATTATATTTTTAAAAATTGTTTATTAACTAAAAGTATATTTTACAAATTATTAAAATGTTCTCGAAGTTTATCTTCGAGATAGTTCTGATATGCCTTTTGTTCATCTTGTTCCTTGCTCCGGAACTTTTCCCCCTTTCCTCTAACATAATATATAAAGGTAGGGGGACTGCCGAAGAGGCACTCTGCAACAGGTTCCAATGGATCTGCTCTAGGATCAGACAAATCGCACAGGACTTCGATTAATGCCTGGTTGTCACGGTATTCTTGAAATAATGATTCAATCAGCATAAGATCAGGGTTCTCTTCCAAACTCAATAAGTGTTCCGTAAAATATTTCTCAAACGGAACATTCAAAATTTCAATAACATTAGTAAATTCACGCCAGACAGCGTAGTTAATTCCGGCTTCCTCTATAGCATCAAGACCATACATCTCCCATTTTTCAAACTCATCCAACATTAAGCAGTCCTGGTCACGAACTTTACACCCGCAACAAAACAGACCAAATTTCTTTTCAATGCTGCGTGCAATGATCTTGGCATATATTATTTCTATAAGACGAAGTTTTTTGCTTGAACCGTTCATTATGAAAACCAAAGTGTAAATGAATTTGTACTACTCACCGATTCAAATATACCCCATGTCTTACAAACGCTCCCGCATACTCATTACTTCCGGCATACTCATTACTTCCGGTGCTCTACTCGTTCCTGCATACTAATTACTTCCGCCGCTATACTGCACTTCCGCCGCTATACAGACGGTCTAATACTACTCCCTACATTTATTTTCTTAGGTTCACAGTTATACAAATACAGGTTTTTTATTTTTAATTTTCATTTTTTTCATTTTTTTCACAAACATACATTGTGCCAACAACACGAGGCCATTGCACTATCATATTTCACACTAAACCTTTTGAACTCACATTTAGGGACTATTGTGGCATAAATTTATTACTAGGACACCAATATGGTTCTCATTACCTATATCTAAACCTAAAAAACTTGGAACAGTCATCGACATATTTGTACAATGGGGTGTTAATTTGCAAGTCGTTTATCATCACAAGGAAGGGGAGGGGTCCAAGTTTTCTACCTTGTAGAACCCCTGCATTTATTTGTCGCCATGATGATTTATTCTGGCCAAGTTTGACACGTAAATACGGTCATGCAGGAACTCAGCACACCAGTTCAACAAGATACAAGGGATGTTAAGTTGTTGTAATTTATGAAGTAAAATATTGTGATTGATGCAGTCAAAGGCTTTTGAAAAGTTAATCATACAACATTTGATAGTTGAACCAGGGTTTTCTAATTTGGCTAGACAGTTATGGATCATGTGGATAAGAGTGTGTGTGGTGGAGCAATTTTTTATATTTCCAAACTGGAGCTGGTCAATTGATGGTTTGATATAATTTTGAAGCTTTCCAATAATTTACCCACAGGGATATTTTCAAGCACTTTAGTCTACTACCGTTTTTTTAGAAGAAGATTGAGTTTCTTTTGGGGGCAGGACGTTAAATTATTTTGTGGTCAGGGGCACACGTTCCAAAATATTTTGGAGGTGTGTAAAGTATTTCGGGATCGACTTTTTACGTATTCAGATTTTGGAAGGAGGAATTCAACGAGGCTGCGCCATGATTGGCGCTGGGTGAAAAAAATTCAAAGATTGAAGTCTCTAGATCGTCGGAAATGGCATTTCCAGAGTCTAGTTTGGCGATCAACTGGCTGTAGAGCACAGAAAGGAAGTTGTTTCAGACAGTGTATAATGGCAATTAGCAATTCTGTAACCTTACTTATTATTTTTCGGACACTGTCCAAAAATAAATCTCATGGAAACAATAATTTTGCGTAATGTTTGCACCTGACGATGGGGACCGACAAATGGTTAATTTGGGACCGACAACATAATCAAATTGAAATCTTCATCGCTAAGCACTCTTAATGGAACTTGCAAATATGCATGCAGTGACTCAATTTCATTGGTGTGAGTCAATTGCCAAGTTGAGTGGAGATCAATTTCATTAAACTGAAAGATCTTTCCACTTCCGCTGTTGATGGGGGGACAAGTGCAGCTAAAGACAAAATATGTGTAATGTCAGGGTTTTTGGTTTTTTGGTTTTGTTTAAACCATAGATATAGGAGACCTAGATTGCTGACTCGGCTCAACCGGCGTGACATATTTTGAAAATCCAAGATGGCGGCTCAACCGGGCAAAAATCATAGAACAACATAGGGGAAAACCATGTTTTTTTCATTTTGCGTTGTCCTACAGCTTCCGATCCCGTTCTATCACTTTATTTCGGCAAGAACTGGTGTGAAGGTTTTGGATGAATATTTGTTACAATCAATACAATTTACAAATTACAATTCAAGCGGGCAAGATTGGGGCAGGCCTGCATTTTCACGCGCTTTTCGTCTTTAGTTTCTTCCTGTTTATTCCTTCAGTCTTTTACGAGTTTTTTCTCAAGTAATGTGATATATATCTAACTATTCCAAAAGCTACTACAGTTTATTTTGTTCTTTCATTGTTATTTCGACCAAAATACAGTATTTTCATCTGAAAATTCTAGGGCTTTCTATTCTATTAAAATATCTGGGGGGTTTTATCGAAAAGAATGCTTGAATGTCGGCCTGAATCGTGTTCATCATATTAGTGCAAGGCAGACGTGGGGATTTAAAAGATGGTATTCGCTTTTCCTTCCATAAGTAAGTCTATGAAACACACACATATATTTGTACACTATAAGTCTATAACTTACATCATATAAACAGAATAGTTTAATATTAATAGAATAAAAACAATTTGTTTTGTAAATACTGTAATGACAACGTCACAACAAATGTAGTTTTGAGTTTGCTAGCTACAATATAAAACTATTTACAGTTTTAATAAAAGAATATTAGACCAAACAACTTGTTTTGATGTCTGTGTCAATCTGTGTTAGGAGTCTCTCTCTATATATATATGCATGTTGACAACAACTGTCATAGAGGTCCTTGTCCTGTTCAAGGTCAAAAATGTTTTACTTTTGTTCACATCAGTGAACCAAAAATGTATCTTTCCCTTTGCACTATTGCGAATAGCCTGCTAAAAAATGAAACAGGCAGACTGGATGCCAATCAAATATCCATTCTTGTCAGGGTTCGTACACCTTCTCCGATTTAAAATTCCATGACTTCCCATGGCTATTTTTTTCAAAATCCATGACCTGGAAGTCTGGAATTCTTGAAATTCGTTAATATTTTAACGATAACAGATATAGTAAAAGAACAAAATTCACTTTGCTCTTGCAAAAATCTGCTATATAACAGCAATTCATATTGTTATGACTGGTAAATTTAAAACAGCAGTTCATATTATTGTTATGACTGGTAAATTGAAATAAGTAAAATACTTTGTTAATGTTATATAAAATTTCAATTTTCCATGACTTTCCATGACTAGAATTGATTTTCCAGGATTTCCAGGCCTGGATTTTGGAATATTGAAATTCCATGACTTTCCAGGACCCGTACGAACCCTGTCTTGTGTGAGAAACACTTCACACCCGATGATTATATTAACCCATCGAGTTGCAATGCGCCCTACTTTATTATTTTACTCTGTCTAACGCCAGACAATTTTATTCATCAAGGGGAGAGCAGTGGCACTTAATGGGTTAACTGGCCTATCTGCCCATGTGTCTAGTTAACCCATTGAGTCGTTTTGTGCCCTATTTTATTATTTTACTCTGTCTAACGCCAGACAATTTTACTCGTCAAGGGGAAAGTGCTGACGCTTAAGTCAGCTGTCTCAAGGGGAGAGTGCCTGAAGGGGAGAGTGCCTGAAAGGGAGAGTGCTGATTGTGGAGAGCAATCAATAAAAGGCCAATCCAACTTATCCAAGAAATATCTAAACGAAGATGCCGTCCCATCTATTCTTGATTATCAATGATGAATCAATCAGGTTTCTTGGAGAGAACTAGATACTATGAAGGTTTTTGATGCATACCAGACAAATTAGTCAGTTTCTTCAAACTAGTGTCCATTGAAAACTTTTGCTGTCACTGGTTCTCTCTACAAACCTGATTGATTCATCACTTTTCACTGTCCAGGCCATATAGACTTGAGATCCCTTGACATCTGTAGCAGCAAGGAGGTTGTCAAAGTCACACTAAACAGAGCATCAGAATTTTCGCACCAGCAGACCAAATAAATCAAGTAAAATAGGTTTTAACTTCAAAATACTTCACAATATTATTCCCTGTTATATATCCCAACCAAGATCCTCGAGAAAAAAGCACCCAAAGAACCAAAACCTTTATTTTCTGTAACAAAATGTCTCAAACTGCTCAACCGACTATGTGATGATTTTCAGATAACATTTAGCGATCGATTATTTCGTCTTTATTAAACTTAAATTGTACAAATATTCATCCAAAATCTTCACACCAGTTAGTTCTTGCCAAAATAAAGTGATAGAACGGGATCGAAAGCTGTAGGACGACGCAAAATGCGAAAAACATTGTTTTTCCCTATACCGCTCTATGATTTTTGGCCGGTTGGGCCGCCATTTTGAATGCTCATGAGTGTCACACGCGTGCGTTATAGAAAACATTAGAGTCAGCAATCTAGGTCTCCTATATCTATGGTTTAAACGCTCAATATCTTTTTCAAGCAATTTGATTTTTTTGTCTATCTTGAATTTTTTGTCTATCCTCCTGTTTCATGCACAGATATCTGTGCCCCACTCGAAACGCCTCTGTAACCCATTATCCTAACCCTATTTGTGCCTAAACATGAGGATATAATCCTAATATCTTGAATATCAATAATCAATTTACTATTCATTAAATGAAAGAAATTACACACAAAAATGCATGATAATGACAGTTACATTTGTAATTTACACATTGAGTGTAAACGAAACAGTAAATTATATTGGAATGATGAAAATGAGAATGTATGGCAGTTTCAATGCTGGTCTCCATTTGTTTTTTTTTTGTGTTATCGACATTACAGGTTGGGTGATGCATGGAAGTGGAATGATTGTGGCGAACTATTCATTATTCGTTTGAAATATATTCAGCTAAAACAGCTTATATTCATTACCATTTGCCTATTTTCTCTAGTTGGATTATAGTATAACTTATACAAGAAAAGGCAATCTGACTGCCTCAGCATTCTTTCTTCCTTTTAACCTTTCTGAAATTTTTTCTGCTTCCAAAGGTAGCTTTTGCACCTAACACAAACCAAAGATGCTTTGGAAGTTTTTGCTCTTTGTTGCCATCAAGATATAGGTTTGTGGCACCAGTAACAATTTTGTCTGCTTGCTAAAGTCAGGGCATTTTTTTTTTTTAATTGATTTTATTGAGTATTCTACAAAATCTACTAATAAAAGCCTAAACACGATATGACAAACACTCACAAGAACAAATACAACAACTGACAATCAAAACCTCAACTACATGACAACATAAGCACATGCAATTTGTAGAAGACCCAAACGGCCAAATTAAAGCACAAACGAGACACAAAGTCCCATGCAAGGTGCTCACCGTCACAATACAACATATAACAGACTCTACATTACAATGTCAATGTTCAAAGACTGATAAGAAATAAACAGTACAGTATTTAAATTAGAAATTGTGGCAACAGCAATCAGGCACCAATGTCCACGTGCATGACATGTCTATGTCAAATTTTGCATCTAAACAGTGTTTGTATGTGACCTTAATGTTTCTTTTAAAAGAGGAAAGGCTGGCGAAGCTGGTTGGAGGAAGAATTTTACAGGCGTAGTTCCATATTTTTACAATGCGGTTGAAGTAGGATGCTTGGAAAGTACTTGACTTGCAGTATGGAGTTTTGAGAGTGAGCTTTGGATTTTGGCTGAGCCTTGTCGGACCATTGTTCACAAACGAAACGAAGGTACGCACATCGAGATCGATATTCCCATAAAGTGCCTTGAAGAAGAAAACCAAATCTGTTATTTCTCTTTCATAACAAAGGAGAAGTAAGTTGAGGGTTGTTGATCGCTGTTTATAGCTAATCTCTCCTCGCTTCGATTTCAGTATCCAAGCAGTAGCTCTTCTCTGGACACTTTCCACCTTAGATATTAGTTTGGTGGTATGTGGAGACCAGACCTCAGTAGCATAGCTCAGCTGAGACCTAACAAGCGTCAAGTACAGTGTCCAGTCTATCTTTTTTATAAAACAGGCATAACCACAAACGTTTCATATATGAATTGGATATGTGATTATCACTTCCTATGTGATTATCAAGTTAAAAGCATTGATTACAATGTTATTACACTGCACCTTAAAGCTAATATGCTATTATCTTGGCCCCCAGGCATAGCCTGCGATTGCATCACTGAATATAGAGATTCCACCATGGACCACAGCTATCTCTTGGATCTGTCGATCCAAGAGCTAATGAAATGTCGATAGCAATACAGCAATTTCTACACCCAGCAATTCTGATAGCAAGGGATCAGTATAGAACGATCTAGAACAGACAAAAAAATACATTGGCCAAGTCACAAATTTACTATAAATAAATGTGTATAGGTAGTTTTTAGTGCAAAGTTGACGAAGTCAAGTTTATACTATTGTGATGGGCTGCAAAGCATTACGTGACTCAACAATGATCGATGGATGTATAGTGTAAACAATTCAATCCGGGGGGAGCGCTTGCAAATTATTTCCGTAGCTTTGCAACGTTCGGCCAGCATATATATTAAAAAAATTTCAAATAGGATTTTATATTTTTATTCACAACGACAGATGTTTTTCTGATTTACATTATCTAGCATTTAGAGAAACAATCATAAAATAAATATCAATTTTAAGATATGAATGGCTAATATGTGTAGGTACTTTCTCACCCTCCGTGCAACAAAATCAAATGAAACAACACACATGCTCTGCACTGCGCCAATTTTAATATGGCGGTGTCAGAGGAGTCGCAGTACGATGTCGTGTATAGAACAGGTCGATCAAAGTCAAAGATGCAGTCAATTTTAACCTTGTTTTTGTGCTTATATTATCTAACAAAGAAACAGAGTGATACAGAATATAAAAAAAGCGCCTGTGGTCATGATCGTTTTGATATAAATTAGCTTGCACATTTTATTAAAAATAACTCATTAATGGAACAATTGCTCTTTTGACCAGCTAAGGAATAAGAGTAGACACAGACAGATTTTGTGTGGGAGAATGGGTTATGGGGGTGAAGTACTCCTGTTACAATAAGTGTCATATAAGTATATTTAACCCAATAGACTCTTTATGGCCTTATATTTCATCCTGCGGGGTATATATAAGGCCCGCTCTGAAAACCCTAGGGGTAATGGTCCCTAGGGCTGCTCTGGGGGTAAGGGTCCCTAGAGCACATGCCAGAAGGGTAGCAACCCCCTCTGACCGTATTGACCTGAACCAAGGGGTAAGGGTCCCTTGGCCAGTTCCTATAACTCGACTAATTATCTTTACAATGAATGAGTCTATGGGCATGAAGGTGACCTTTGGGAGCACTTCAACCCCACAAATACAGTGAAGTGTATCTGACACTTGAGTGTATTCCCCATAGACGAGACAATCCACACAAAAATCACAGCTGTTGACATTTTATTTGTTTTGGGTTTATTTGTTAAAATTTGGATGTGTTGGCCAGCATGGCTGATACTCCTGATAAGGTAGATACAGGTGTTTTAATGTAACGTTCGTAACAGTCCGAAGACCATCTTCCCAATGTTTTAATAAGCCATGAAGGTAAGTTTGCTTCGGCTGCAGTTGTTGCAGCCCCTATTCTATAGCTATGACCAGCATAATTTGAAGCATTAAAACCAGATAGAGCGAGAAGCTTATGAGTTTCAGTGGTTAAAACTTGCTTGGTTAGAGGTTTTCCTGAGGCATGGATAAACAGTGGACCAATTGTGGGAGGACGTAGAGAGATGTAATTTTCTAAGGCCTGTACAGGGCAAATTTCAGAGTTGGTTGCGCCAACAGTTATTGTGTGACCCAAGCGAAATGGGTCTGTCTTAGACTCTTTGATGCGAACAGTCATGAATTGTGGGCCTTTTGTACCAATTCGAGGTGGAAAAAAGATGCTATCATGGGTAAGATGTACATCTTTATTGAATTTGGAGTTGCATGTTAACTCGCCAAGACGAAGAAAACCGAAGAAGGCTAATGTCATAGCCGCCCATATCATCAGAGAATCAAAATTGTTGGTATTGGAAATTGCAAGCAGTAGTCGGAAAAGCTTCAGATGGTGGATGGTTATTGGTAGGCGGACTCTGATTTGGTCTCCTTGAGAACGCTTAATCCCTCTAAGAACAAGTTGCAAACGCAACATTTTATGCATGTGCAAATGAAAACCACGACGAATATGGTAGTGGCGGACAGCTGCCAAATATATTTTGATGGAGGCATATTTGATAGATTTGGCAAGGAATGCAACAAACTCAGTCAAAAGTAATTCATCGGCCGGCAAACATTGCTCTAGTTGTTTCCGTTTATGCAAATGGATGAAGCTTATAAAGCGATTTTCACCCGAGGTATATGTTTTATGTGTTATAGATGCAAGTGATAGATTTATATAATTTTGTATGTCCTCGTTCAGAGAGTCGTTAACATTTCTGGAACTTGGCAGGGATTGGTATCTGCATTTGGTGCCAATTGTCGAAACCTCTGAAATTGAGAACGGGAAATTGCATCAGCAATGTCATTATTTTTGCCAGGAATATGCACTGCACAAATGTACATATTGTGTTGCAAGGTTAAGAGTGTTAAGTGACGCATTAAATCCATTACCCGGGGAATTTGGGAACGTTTAGTATTGATTATGCCTACCACAGCCTCATTGTCACAATGAAATTTTATGCGTTGATCAGCGAGTAACTCACCCCAGATTTGACATGCAACAACTGTGGCAAAGAGCTCTTGCCATGCTATACTTATACCGGGCTGACCTAATTTTTGGTGTGGATGCCATTTTCCCTGAAACCACTTTTTACCAAAGATACCCCCAAAACCCAGGGAGCCGGAGGCATCCGTATGTAAATTTAAAGTATCTGAGGCATGCCACGCAGATGACAAGAAGAAATTGGCACCATTCCACTTGGAAATAAACTCTTTCCACATCCCAAGATCTTTGAAGAAACCAGAATCGAGTTTAATATGGTGATGTGGTTTCTGAACATTTCTTGTCAAATCAATCATGCGTTGAAGGAATGACCGCCCCGGGGGAACCACTCTACATGCAAAATTTAATGTGCCTATTAATGACTGCAGCTCTTTTAGGGTGCAAGACCGTCTGTGCTGAAATTGCTCAATAGCAGCCTGCAGCCTGTCAATTTTGTCAGGAGGGAGTCTAGCTTGCATCTTAATAGTGTCTAATAAAATACCCATAAACTCGATTACCTGTGAGGGGCCTTGTGTTTTGCCCTGAGCTATAGGGATATTAATAGTTTGAAAAGTAGACAACATGTGTGTTAAGCTTTGCTGGCAAAGGCTATTGTAAGGAGGCAAGACCGCTGGAGGCTCGATTAAAAGAAAATCATCCAGTATGTGGCACACAAATGAGATATTACATTTATTTAGCAAAATCCATTCAAGGGCATCTGAAAGTTGGTTGAAGATGGAAGGGGCACTCCGTAACCCGAAAGGAAGAACCTTATCATAATAGTACTTCCCTTCCCAACACATGCCTAAAAGCTCATAGTCGTCTGGATGGATAGGAACTAACCTGAAAGCCGATTCAATATCAGTTTTAGCAAGAAAGCAACCTGCACCAAATTGCTTAATACCTTTGATAGCATCGTCTATTCTTACATATTGAAGACTGTAATCCTCTTTGGGAATACTACAATTTATGCTGGTTGAGCCTGACTTCGGATACGATAGATGGAAAGTTGTACGAAATTTATTTGAATTTTTCTTTGGTACTAAGCCAATTGGAGAAACTTGAAAATTTTTAAATGGGGGACTATCAAACAGACCAGCTATGCGACCAAGCGAAACTTCAGTTGCCAAATTTGAAGAAACAATATCTGGGTTAGCGAAAGCCGTTGGCAAATTCCTTGAAAACCTTGGGGCCCGTGGCCCCTGAAAACCTATGTGCACACCAAATTTAAAGTTGTTACAAAGCTGTGAAACAAAATTTTGGTCTGGGTGACTTGAAAGTGCTGTTTTTAAATGTTGGATGGAAATAGGTGTAGGGAGTGGTTGGTCTTTAACTTCGTTTGGATTTTGAGGAGTTGTGCTCACGTTTTCAATCTCGCTCATCGTATTTGACTGACTTGGAATTGAGCGAGGGACATGGAGATCCAGAATGTTTGCCATTACATGTGTTGCAGAGGTGTTGGTATTGGCGTGGCTGACGGAAACACCCAACTCCCCTGTTGAAATTTCGAGGCCTCCTCGAACGCCCCCGGAGGAAGCCCAATTGTGGGGTCCATTTGAAAAATGAGGATACTGTTGGACTAAGATGTCTGGCGAGCTTGTGAATATCATCAGCCACAACTGCTGATCAATCAGGGACCAATTTTGACTGGGGTTGAGAGCAGCCTTGCATCGAAATTTATGGTCGTATACACACCACCCCAGTCCACAGTGAGTTTGGGCTGCATGGCGTGTCAAACTCAAATAATTTAACAATTCTTGGCCCTGACCGGGGAACTTATGGGTCATCACGCTCATGTATACAGTGAATGCGGTTGTCCACTGCTCGATATCGGTTATCCTAGAAATTGGCTGCAACGCCTTTTTGACCTTGATTACTGAGTTTTCGAGAGTTAATATCATAGGCTCGTCGGAGTGGTTATTGGTTGACATGTTTTTTGGTAAAAGTTTAGATGAATAAAAAAACTCACCCGATTGAATTTGTTTGATGTCCTGCGCGGGAACCTCGTGAAAGCCATTTCCATATGCCACGCTGTCCGCTGCCTGATTGGAACCAAACGTACGCGCGTTGGTTGACGTGGTATTTGAGCTGGGGTTAACAGTTATTTCTTCGCTTTCATCCTGGACGACTAAGGTATTCTCGATAGTGTTAGGCGTCGAGTTTGCCATGGCTTGAACAGCAGCGCGGGCTGCATTGGATGCTATTTCGCTTACCGATTGTTCCACGGTTCGCGTTATGATCGACTGGATTTGCGCTATCTGTGATTCAGTAAGCAACGCTGACGAGACCTCGACTTGTGGTGGTGTTGATGGCGGATTTACATTTTCTGCGGCGTGGTTTTGAAGGCGAGCGACTAAGGCATTCTTGCGTCCATGGGTTAATAATCCCTTCTCGGCGCACTGTCGTCGAAGACTCTCTATGGAATCTGCGTTATTTGATGACGAAGAGCCTTCCCGATTTTCTTCTCCTCTCGTTCCCCTGTTTCGAACGGGAGGCATTTTGATGAATTATTTATATTTTTTATCAAAATGTTACAACAGCTTGGAACCTTTCTTTGTCAATACTTTGAAACAATTGGTCTCTTTCAAGTGTATTTGATCTATTTTGCTGGCTGAACTGAATTATGATTGGTTGAATTTTTAGATGACATGAAAGATATATTTTGATTGGCCAAAAGATAATTGGTCATGAGATGTGCACGTGAACACTTTGGCAGTACCAAAATGACCTTTGATATTCTAGTGCACATGATAGCTGTGGGTCTGTGACCTTTGTACCGTGTGCAAAATATTCACATCTGTTGTAATATAAATTAGACCAAACTTGTTAGATAAACTGGGGAGCATTGCCCATTAACTTAAATTTATATTATATATAAATTAGCTTTTTAGCGCGGGAAATTAATTTCCTGCAAAGCTACTAACTTTACTGCAGTCTGGGTGGAACGCAAGTTTGAGCATTTTCGTTAACCCTGGTTTTCACTAGCTGTAAATTTAAGCGTAAGCATCACAGATTTGCTGGCACAAGCCTAAACGCAAGCATAAAACAGAAGTTTAACAATATTAAAATCTTCCTTTCCCTTACGCATACGCCTTACGCTTATGCTTGCGTTGCAATGAAAACCAGGCTTTAAAGTTTTCATAAACAGAAGAACGACAAACTGAAATTGAACTAAAATTACTGTTTTATTCGTCGTATACTTTATACAATCTAATTGTGATAACTTTTAAAACAAATAATGGTAAATAAACCTCTTCACCCAAAAAACAAAATTTTACTTTACAGTCGTTATGTTCTATCGAAACTATCTTGGCATTTTACTGTTGCTACGATATCTAAAACTTGGGTAGTCGAAAATATCGATTCTTCGGTGAACAAGTACATCCGAAAATGGCTGGAAGTACCTATATCTGGAACACTAAGTAACGTTTTTCTAACCTCAAAATAAGTTTGGTCTAAATATCCTCCCTGCATCAGTCAAATTCATTCAGTGTCAAACAGTTCTACGCATGAATGCCTTAAAAACATCTCCAAACGATTCAATAAACGAACTGTGGAAGTCAACTAATAATCATACTAACGTTCAATACGATAGCTACAACTCAACTAAAGAAGTTTTAAAAAGAATAAAAACTTTCCATTCTCAACAAGAAAATAAACTTAGGAACCGTTTGAAATGTGAAAGTTCATTTTTCGCTATCACAACTTAACGCAATCTGGTCGGTATCGCAATCAAAGCTACCAAAGAACATTTTCAACTTTACATTTCGTTATATAAATAATACCCTTCCTACCAGAAAGGACCTCAGTAGATGGGGAATTTAATCAAGTTCTGACTGCTCGTTCTGCTTACACCCTGAATCACTTCTATACACGTTGTTGCCGGTTGTCAACATTACTTGGAACGATTTACTTGAAGACACGATTGCATACTAAACTTTCTTTCTTTCTTTCTAATTTAAACGAATGCAAATTATATGTTGATCTTCCTGGATTTGAAAGCCCCTCGATTATTACGGGAGATGAATGTCGTCCTGATTTACTTGTCTCCACTTCAGACAATCATGCAAACACCTCTACGTTGTTGAACTTACCGTAGGCTTTGAATCAAACCTCACAAACAATGTCAACCGCAAGAAAGCTAAATATAAAAACCTAATTAGAGAACTGGATAAAAAATTTACATCTGTTAAATTTATAAATATTTCTATCAGTTCGCTAGGGGTGTTTGACAAAGAATGTCATACACTCGTAAAAATGCTAAATGAGTTAGGACTGGATAATCAACACCAACAATATTGTATCAGAAAAATTATATCTATTGCCATCCGATCAACGTACTACATATTTTGCTGTAGAAATAAAGAATGGACAAATCCCGAACTAATGAACATTTAAAGTAACTATTTCTATAAATAATTAACATTTTTTGTATCTAAAATTATAACCATGTATGTATAAGTGATTCAAGTAGTCAATTGTAGGTTACGTCAAGAAGTGAGATTTACAATTGTATATATCTATAAATGTTCTATTAATAAAGTTTTCAGATAAGATAAGATAGATAAGATAAGAGAATTTTTTATTTATACTCTTTCATTACATAGTGCGAATTTGAAAAACACAACAACAATTACAAATACAGAAATTAGAGTAAAGGCTACCTATAATAACTATATAAAAGCTAATAAATTTAGGTAGCACATGTGACTCTACTTGGAGACAAAACAAGACGGCAAATAAGAAATTACAATAGAAAAAGAAAAAGACTTAGCTCACTAATACATCAAAACGTTATCATAGAAGACAAAAAACAGACGACACACACATAAATATAAAGTTATTTACATGGAAGTATAAATATTGTATCATCAAAGATGTCTACAAAACCAGATTCGTCAAAGGTACGATTGATGAAGTGATTTTTTTAATGACGCCTTAAATTTATATCTTTTTAAGGATTTTATTTCCATATCAATGGAATTCCAGACTACGCTGCCACGATAACGTATGTTGAACTTGCCATAATTTGTTCGAACTTTTGGAAGGTATAGTAGCTGTTTAGCAGAAGACCTCGTATTGTAATTGTGCACCTCAGCAACATTTTTAAAGAAATTATCAAATATAGTTGGTAAATTGCCGGTGTGAAAATCAAACATAAATAGAGCATTTTGATAATATATTAAGTCAGGAAACTTAAGTATGTTAAGGTGCTTAAAAAGTGGAGAGGTATGACTTTTGAAGCTAGAGAATGTTATCATTCTTACTACCTTTTTTTGTAATAAAGTTAAAACATTTAGGTTGGATGCATATGTATTACCCCATACCGTTAAAGCATATGTTAGATATGGATGAATCAATGTATAGTATAATTGTTGGAGTATTTCTGTGCCAACGAAGTAGCGAATTTTTGAAATAATACCAATACAGCGTTTAATTTTTTTTGCCAAATGTGAAATATGATATTTCCAGCTTAAGTTTGAATCGAG